TTCATCATAGAGTAAGCTGTAAGTTGGGGTGTTGAGTTCAGTGGAAAGAGTCCAAGCTTTCAGCCTTAGGCAGACTTGCCAATGTGTATCTCCTATTGCATCCTATTCCTTCCTTCCACATGAATGCTTGTAGAACGGGCCATTGCACCTTTGGGGTGACTCTGGAACTCAGAGCTATTGTTCAGAAATCCTTATCAGCCAGTGAGATGATTGTGAACAAATTCCATTGTCAGTGCTGCACCTCTGGTTAAATTCATTGATACCTTAAATAAAAGATGCACCACTGTACATCTTTTATACTACAAAAGCTGTGAGAAAAACGACTGGGATAAGCTTTTTTCTAAAAAAAAGAAGGGGGAGAGAGAGAGAGAGAAAGGAAGAAAGAAAGAAAGAAAGAAAGAAAGAGAGAACATCCACATCTGAATGAACTAGAGAGAAAGGCACTAGAACACTTTATTCTAGTATGCTACAAAAATTCATTATTTATCTTTATTAGGTACTTTAATAACAAGCATACCTTAAAGTAACAAAAATTATTGTTCTTTGTTTCTTCAGAAAGGCAGGTATTCCAACAGATTTCTTTACAATTTGTTGACCTTTTTCTTTTCAGAAAAACAACAACACAAAGAGAAATAAAGCAAAGAAACCAAAGACCACAACTCTTTTTGACATGTTACAATGGGGCGACCTGGTGGAAAGTGTCAGCACTTTAAGAAGTTAAAAACAGACTCCTACTTACATTGAATGATGTATGTACTTAAAACTGTTTTGCTTCCTTTATATATATATCTATCTATATATATCTATGTACATCTATATACACACACGCAGGTATCTACACACAAATGGTCATGGGGAAACCCACATCAGTTTGCAAGATTTTTGCAGTAACATTACTGGGCCACAGTGAGAAACAGGATGTCGAGAGGTGGGAACGCCTGCTGAAGAGAATAACAAGTTTTGCTTTCATGATTTGGGTCTAAGGACCACCCCGCCATATTGGTACCAACAAAGTCAGCGATGGCCAGTTTTGTCAGGACTAGGTCATGGGATCTGAAGAGCCCTGATAGGTCAAGGAGCTTTGGATCACATCAAAAGTGGCAATTTTCTGGAAATGTCAGGTGTTGTGGAGTCAACACTGGAGTCAACAACGGTCAGAAACAGAGGGCCATGGTGGGAGGGCCATGGTCACTGCTGCATAATTCATCTTTGGAAGGCTAAGACCAAAGCACAGACCAGAGGGAGGTTGAGGATGACGCAGGTATGGAGAATAAAAGTTTGTATGGCAATGGAAGGTAGGAAAGCACAAATCCAAAGAGATAAGTTGCTCTGGTAAGGGCCAGAAGTTGACCAGAAAGGTGTCATACTTAATTTGGGGTCACCAGAGGCTAATGAGAAGCCAGGAACAGCACCAAACATAGTCATGATGACAGAAAAGGACCAATCCTCATCCCCTAACGCCAGCTATCCTTTGCAGAAGATGCTGCTAAGGAGGTCAGGAAGGTTTCTGGTTCAAGCTCTTGAGAGGCTGCGATGTGAAGGACAATGACTTTTTTGGGTGTGTTGTCTGTTCTGGACAATGACTCATGGTTCAACACGTGATTAAAATATTGAGGGTTTCCCAGGAAGTGGCAAACTAGAAACACACTGCTGTTTACAATAATGGCCACCACACACCAAAAAGCCAAGCATTCACATTACTACCTCAGCAGAGTTGCTGTGTGATGTCAGAACCAGCTGATCAGAGTTTGGGCTGATGTCCTTTCTGGCATTTCCCTGTAATACTCAAGACAACTCTTACCTTTTAAGCACCGGAATCTGGTTTTTTGCCCTACGGCAAGAGGTAGCCAAAGTCATGCCACTGAGTTCTTTTGGACCACAGCATCCATCAGCTCCAGCCAGCATGGCTAATGGTCAGGGATGATAGGAGTTGTACATTCTAGCTACCACTGCCCTTCAAGCACTTCTGCCATGATGTTCCTTTGCCTTTACGGCTTTTCTCTCACAGCAGGGGGTGGGGGTGGGGTTTCCTGGCTATGTAGTTTTCTGTCACAGTGCAAAGGGTTAGAATAGATGAATCTCTGGTCCTTTCCAACCCTAAACATTCCATTTTATAACTAAGGATATAACCCTAAGCCCTGCTGAATGCATTAGACCTTATTTTTGAGTAGACACATATAGGATTGCAATATAAGGCTGCAGTCCTATGCATACTTACTTAAGAATAAGGCTGACTGAAGTTACATTTGAGAACACACGCATCGGATTGGGCTGTAAGGCTGCAATCCTAAATACACTTACTAGGGAGCAAGTCCCACTGAATTCTGTATTCCGGGTTAACCCAAGATAACTTTATCATTGATGCCACTAATTACTATCATTTCTGCTGGGAGCCTAATGCCTGAGGCAGAAACCACCAGGCCACAGAAAGCAATCAGATGGCAATTCATATTATAACATTTAACAAATTTAACAAGTAACAAATTAAAAAGAAAAGAAAAAAGAATTGGGACATGACCCAGACAAATAATGACTCTGTTAATCTGATAGTGGAACCATACATTGTGAGAAAAATGGGTTGCCAAGGAAAACATCCTTATTCTCTTTTTAAACATCTAGTTCAATGATGTCCTCCTGATATCATCAGACCTGGAGTATTCCCACCCCATTTTGCAAATAGTTGGTTGCCACCGGTAGGGGAACAGTATCCTGACATCAGGATATACATTAAGGTGTGCTACTTTTGATAGCGGGAGATAACTCAACCCGAGACATCCATTTTTGTTCAGTTTGGCCCTTAATTACTATCTCCTTAGTTAGGCAGAACATCTAGAGATCGAGATTCATTGCAGCCACAGGTGTGCTGGGCTATATGTAAATATGCTACTCCTGTTTAACCAAACCTTGGGTTGTCTAGACATTTCCTCCAGGCTGTTCAAGATTAATGAAGTTTCCCTGCACTTCCACTGACTTTCATTCAAAGCCCACGGCGAGCCATTTTGTCCTTGGAACCTCGGGAGGGAATCACATTATACAGCACCACTGTGAAAAAGACGCTATGAATATCTATTTATGCTGTATAACAATGTTATCGGTAACTTCCTCTGGCAAACACTCCGCACACAGCATTGGAATACTACAGTGCTGGGGGCAGCATAAGCACCTAGAGAGTGGGGGGGAAAGTTGTTTACTTAGAAAGAACCCTTTTAAATATATTGATAGTGTGTCCATAGGCATTTCAATCAGAGAGACAAGCAGCTTTAAACACAAATGGCTTTCTGCAGATTTATTCAAAAATGCAAAATCTAGCTTGTTTCCCCCGAAAACCCTTCTATTACAGCGCGTTTTTCTTACGCTAGATGCAGCGGTGAATGGTGAACCAGAGTTGTAAAGGAGAAGTCGCGCATCCTTATGTAGTGCCCACCTGTAGTGTGGCAAACAGTAACCAGTTTCTGTCTGGTATAAGTAATTAGTAAGCATTGTGCGATGTTGTGCATGGAGGGATCCGTACTGATAATACATTACTTAAAGTCAAGTTTTCTAAAGGCAGCAGAGGAGCAGAAAGATGGCGCTTTAAAACTGGCTGAAGAAAACATCACTGAGAGCAGAAATGTACCTCTTATGTATTTCCCCCATTCAAATGGATCCCCACAAATGGACTGGTTTGCCTCAAAGCCTCGTGTGGCAACGATACAATAAAAACGTAGCTGCCCAGAGTTAGCTCTGTTTGTTCTCTACTTTGAGCTAGTTGGAATAATTATTCCAAGCAGTCCTTTCATTGCTATTTGTAAAGAACGTCCATTTCCTTCTCTCAGATCAGAAAAACGGTAAAAGTGCGACTAACTCTATATTGTTTACCAACCTTACTATGTCATGTTTTGCAAAATGGCTTCCCACTGGACGTCAGCAGCACTTACCCCAACTGCCAACTCATCATGAGGGAGCTGGCTGAGTTTGCTTCAGGAGGCAGATTTGGGGTAGCAATTTCTTGAAATATTATCTTAAACACACACACACACACACACACACACACACACACACAACAGACACATTTGGACTGTCTGCTTCAGGCACAAAAATGTCTTGGGCCTATCTGTTACATCTCCGTTCTCAACCTTACCTTATCTGAGCTCTCTCCCCTCCACAGTTTATAATTTGACTGGGAGGCAAGGAGGGGAATGGAGACATGCTACAAGGAACCTATTGGGTCCCCAATGAATCTCTGGAATAGCCTGCGAAAGAATTGTGGAAGGAGATGGATCACTCGTAACTTTATGGGTTTTCATGTTTCCTCCTCACGGAGATTTCGCAGTTTGGGAGCCACCATCTCAGAGCCTTTGCAGAATGAGAATTCGAGTCTGAAACAGCCACAGAGTCGCTACGCACAGAGAGTAAACAGAACATGTAGGCAAGGAATCAAGAAGCATTGTGTTTCAAAGTGAAGGCCAAATGAGGTGCAGCAATGGTGGATTCAAAAAGTTTACGCCATTTCCTCTGTAACCTGAAACGTAAGAGAGTCTTTTCTGCAGCAATGCTGGATGATGCCCTCTCTGGTTCCTGGTGGCCGGAACAGGAATTCTCTGAGTTAACTGTCCCCGCCTTGTGAAATGCTTTATTTTAAAGGATTTTGCTTTTCAGTTGAAATAATATTTTTTTTTTTACAAACCTCCTTGATGCATGTATATTAATATGTTTACCTAGTGACAACTATACCCCCGTTTAAAATTTATTCCCCTTATGTGACTTTTCATGCATGCCTTCTGAATGTTGCATCCAGTGACAGTTCCTAATGAGCTGGTGGGTAAATCCAGGATCGAATCTCTCTCCAGAGAACCACTTGCATGTCTGGCTGAACTGTGCTTAGAAGGCAGCTCTTGGCAGTCAGACTTTTTAGTTTTTCTTACACTCGTCAACATTCTCCTTCATCACAGGCTTCCTTCCCAAGCGTCTTCCCATTTAATGCTGATGTACAAAAGCTGTTACTTGGTTTTGTTTTGTGCTCATTCTAGTGAGGATTGGCTTAGCAGAACTGCAAAACAGAGAGAGAAAGAGAAAAGTCAAGTTAGCGCTGGAGGACATATTAGCAGAGGCATTCCTAGGCTTTCCTATCCCTTGATATGGCAAACCTCCCGTTTCCGTTTGTTATAAAAGCTGTCAGGCTTAGGCCGAGCCCAGGCTGAGACGCCTCACGAAAAGCAAGGTTCTCTCTGCATGTCTTTTGTTCATCATTGGGGTTTCTCAGGTAAGAACAAAGCCACAGAAACAGCACAACACAGTTCCTTTGGCTGAGGAGCCACATGAGATAAAAGATGAAAGGCGAGAGACTGGCTCACCTATATTTACTAAAAACCTCTCCAGGCCATACTTCACTATAATGAAACGCCCAAGGAAAGGTTGTGACAGTCATAAAAAGTTAAAACTGAATAAAAACATATAGACGGTAGAAAATGAAAAACGGAAGAGCAGAACAACAGCAACAAGCAACATACACATTGCTTAGTTCATTCCTCTTTGATGGTCTGTGGTTGAAGATGCCCACAAACTCATGTGGAAAGAAGTACTGCGTCCCAGTCCGACCACAGGAATTTGCCTCGCACCAGATCAGATTTCTTTTTAAATATGGCATAGGGTTATAGATAGTAGGGTGTTGGGGACTGGCTGGATGAGAGGTAGAAGCTGTCTGACTAGGAGCCCCCCAGGGAAAGCCCAGAGGACTTTGGATCTGAGCTCCTGATGGTGGGAAACTGGCCACACCCCAGAGGAGAAGAGCGGGAGACTGGGAGCTTGGAGGAGGATGGAGAGGAGGAAACAGGCAGGTGCGCCAGTACACAGCAGAGACAGGAATCAAATTTGGCAGCTCCACCACACAGCCACCCCGATAGCTTCTCTGCTGACCTCCTGCCCCCCCAAAAAACCAAGGCGTCTCTTGCACGTTACAGAGCAGAGAGCCAGGCAGAAACAGAGTTGTTGTAGACAGAGAGAGGGGCCTGACACAGAGGGTTATAGAGTGGAGTTGGGGGAGTTATAAGCCAGTTCGGGCAACGGCTTCATCTAGAAAGAAGCAACCCTTAGAAGTCTCTATGTGTTCTCTGTTCTGTTTCCTTAATAAAGAAACTAACTGTAAGTTAGCTGGCGTCTTTCTCTGAACTGTGTACGACCTATTCTCCCTGTCGGCTCCCTGACACAGGGGTGGAAAATCTCAGGTTCTGAATGTGGCCCTTCAAGCCTCTCTATCTGGGCTTTAGGACTCTCCATAGGCCACACTGGCTCTTCCTGGCCACACCCCTCACTGTCCCGGCTTTGCATTTTCCTTGAGGGCTTTTGCCTGGCTGGAACATGCTATGGACTATGGTTCCTGCTTGCCTGGATGGAGGATAGAGAAGAGTGTGTCAGTAAATTAACATTTGTGGTTCCACCCACGTTTGACTCTGGTCCCATGATCCACCACTGGCGTGTGGAGTGTTGCCTAGAAAGGACTGCAGCCTTCCCTCTCTACAGTGACTGGAAGTGCTTCCTCAGAGGCTCAGGAACAAAAAGTTCTTTCCTTGTGTGGCACCAAATCTCTCTCCCCGCACCCGTCTTTCGCAGGACCAGTTGTGTTTCAATGGTTCCCTCTCCACTACATCACTGATAAGTAGACCAAGCCATTGTTAGTGCTTTCGTAAGTCCAGCTGCTTTATATCACCAGTCTTCTCATAATTTGATCTAAGCTTATACCTAACCAGATCATATCCAACATTAAGGATTTATTTATTTTTTAAAGGAAAACCCACAGTTTATTGCCAATTTTCTATTCGAAGTCTTCACCGTGCTTTATTAAGCGCAGAAACCTTTGATATTCCATTTCAGGGCCACAACACATTGAAAGCTTTTTTAGTTCTCCTGCAAAGTTCTTACATAATGGGGTTATGTAGATGAAAGAGGGAATTTAATAAATGTCATAGGCTACTAGTTAATGTTGTATAATAGCAGCTGCTCCATAAGCAAGTCAACTTCCCTCAATCAATGTTGCACACACTCCTCTGGCCTTGTAACCTGTCATGCGCTCTGGAATCCTTGAAGGCTTATATCCATGCAGGCTACCTACAAATCATTTTCCATTTCTTTTTAAAGCTGTCACATGCACCTCACAGTTAATGAATGCAGCATTTAAGGAGTCTGCATTGTCCAAATTAGCCACGTGTTCTGTTTCAAGGGTTCTGAAGGACTTCCTGTCATCCTCACCTCCTTGCGAGATGTTGAATCTGTGTAGCTGACCTATTCAGTCTGAAGCCTTGTCTGCTGCTGGTGAGAACGCATTGCCTTAAGGGACTGACCAAAACCGTTTCAGGGTCTTTAGAATTCCATCCCTGCGCGAATGCTCTGACAATTGTTGCGTCCCAGACAGACAGGCTTCAGAACGGTGTCCTGCCAGTTTCTTAGTATACAAACAGGCACACAAATAAACGCATAGCATTTGTACACAGTTGGCCATGTGAGATTTTGATGGGCTCATTTTCCCCACAGCCCTGAGAGATTTCACATGAGCGGGCAAGAAGCCTAGAATAAAATTTAAAATACTAACGGACGCAAAGGAAAGAGGTGGATTTGCCCTGCCAGATCTTAAACTTTATTATGAATCAGCAGCTTTTTGCTGGCTGAAAGAATGGCTGCTTCTTGAAAACACAGACATTTTGGATTTAGAAGGTTTTAATAATGTATTTGGATGGCATGCATATTTGTGGTATGATAAGGTCAAAGCACATAAAGCATTTAAAAATCATATTGTCAGGAAAGCATTGTTTAATGTCTGGATAAGATATAAGGACCTACTTGAAAATAAAACCCCAAGGTGGTTGTCACCGATGGAAGCGAAGGCTCAGAAAAAGCTCAATATGGAGGCCAAATGGCCGAAATATTGGGAAATTTTGGAACAAGAGGGAGACAAATTGAAACTGCAGAGTTTTGAAAAACTAAAAAATAAAGTGCGAGATTGGCTTCATTATTATCAGATAATGGAGGCATATAATTTGGACAAGAAAATTGGCTTCCAGGTGGAAAAATCAAAATTGGAAACAGAACTGTTAGACCCCAAAACCAAGATTTTGTCAAAGATGTATAACTTGCTGTTGAAATGGAATACTCAGGATGAAACGGTGAAATCTGCTATGATTAAATGGGCACAAGATGTTGGACATAACATAATGATGGCTGACTGGGAACAGTTATGGACCACAGGTATGAAGTTTACGGCATGTAATGCCTTAAGAGAGAATATTATGAAAATGATTTACAGGTGGTACATGACACCAGTCAAGCTTGCAAAAATCTATCATTTGCCCGATAATAAATGTTGGAAATGTAAAGAAACTGAAGGTACATTCTTTCACCTTTGGTGGACGTGCCCAAGGATTAAGGCTTTCTGGGAGATGATTTATAATGAAATGAAAAAGGTATTTAAATATACCTTTCTGAAGAAACCAGAGGCCTTTCTCCTGGGCATGGTTGGTCAATTGGTGTCAAAGAAGGATAGAACTTTCTTTATGTATGCTACAACAGCAGCAAGAATACTTATTGCAAAGTATTGGAAGACACAAGATTTACCCACTCTGGAAGAATGGCAGATGAAGGTGATGGACTATATGGAACTGGCGGAAATGACTGGCAGAATCCGAGACCAGGGAGAAGAGTCGGTGGAAGAAGATTGGAAGAAATTTAAAAACTATCTACAGAAATACTGCAAAATTAATGAATGTTAGAATGATGTTGGATTGAAGTTAAGTGGTTTTTAGCAGCAATGTTATAAAGGAATATGTAAAAATGGATTGTTAACAGGTGATAATCTAAAGTTATAATATATTAAGATAAAAGATTAAGATAAAATCAAAGAGGGAAAGGATTTGCTGAATTAACTAATTGAACTGGAATACAAAAAAGGGAGGTGTGAGGAGGTCAGGGAAACAAGCAAATGAAAGATAAGATATGGAAAGACTGATCTGTTTTTAACTGTTTTTACCTTGTATTTTCATTTTCTCTTTTTTTCTTTTCTCTTTCTTTTTTTTCCCTTATTTTTGTAATATGTTGAAACTTTAATAAATATCTTTTTTTTCTTTTTAAAGAGAGATTTCACATGAGCTTCCCAGAGAAAGCACACAGAGCAGGCGTTGCTCCCCAAGCCAGGCAGAGAGATTAAAATCTCTTTATGTGCTGCATAACCCAAGCAGACTTGGCGCATAAAGAGCTTTTAAGCTTTCCGCCTTGCTTGGATTTAACTTGTGCAATTTCAACCAGTTACATGCGTGTTAAGCTGCAAGCGTACTGTGTCTTCTAAAGTTGTACACATTATTATTTTATTCATTTATGAGTCACCTTTCATACAATTTAAAAGGAGATTACAATCATACAAAAAAAAGGAGAATGAGCACAGGTTTAAGAACAATCCAAAAAGCCAAAAACAAAACAAAACAAATGAATATAGGTTAAAGAACAATACAAATAAACGCCCAAGGCAGAGACCTAATCCCTCCCCACTCCAGCTGGAAAGGTTTTGGTGAAATAAAAATGTCTTCTATTGTTTCTGGAAATTACAAATCATAGGCACCTGTCATGTCTCAACAGGGATGCTGTTCCAAACAGTGGCAGCCTCCCTTGAAACTCCTCCTTGGAGCTGATGTGGAGCAGGCGCCTGATATTTTAGAGACACCAAGGAAACAGCTTCCTGCAAAATGCAGTGACCTACTGAGTACATAAGTGAGATAAAATGTGTGTCCAGAGGAGGAAGGCTATTACACACAAGAAAATAGGCCTTAAGATTCCTGGAAAGGAACATGTAGTCTTTGCAGTAAATTGGTGTCCATTCATTCTTTGGTAGATTCTTAACTGGAACAGACTCTCAACTGTTCAACTGATTGAATTTTTTGTTGTTAAGGCCAACTTTCAAGGGGTTAATTCTTTGCTTCTCTCTCTTTCTAGCCTGCTGTGATTATTATAAAGGTTCACCAAGATGCTGATGGAGAGGAAATGGTTTTCTTGATGAGGTCAAGCCCAGTGCCATTCCAGCATCCAATTATCTGTCAAGAGGCCCTTTAATAATGTTCCAATGGCAAATTTCCTCCTCGCCTCACTACAGCACATAAAAGCATTCCAATGATACATGGAGCAAAAATAGAGATTATTTACTAAATTATGGAGATGCACTCAGGGCACAAAAATTGAAAAAGGAAGACAGGCAATTAGACTCTCCAAGAGATATAGAGGCCCAAGACACCAAATATTTGGGGAGGCAAATGTCTGTTGGGCTGCTTGAATATTCGCAGAGATTTCAGTGACATTCTTGCAAAATCCCGTGTTCTATGCCTGATCAAGTGACTGGTCCAAGGTCTGCCCGTGACCTTTCAGGGCTAAGTGAGATTTGAACCCAGGCCTCTCCAGCCCTAGTCCAAAATTCTAACCACAACGCTTTACTTAAGGGAATTGTGGGAAACCAATGGGCCATTCCTGCAGGGGCTGATGGAAGTTGTAGCACAGTAACATCTGGGCAGCCAAAGATTTCCTGCACCTGATTTAAGGGATTAATTCCTAAACTGTGTGCAATAAATTGAGTATGTAACTAAAGGCTTTAATGAAGAAAGAAAGAAAAAAAACTGCCTCCAAAGGAGAGACTGGTACCTGTTCCTTCAAAATAGAGACACATTCAGATCAGAAATTGATGCAAAACCTTGGGCTACAGCAATATTGTGGAGGGTGAGGGATTTGCGTCAGGGCTATGAAAGTGGGAAGCATAAAACTACCTCTCCCCACACACCATGTTCCCAAATTGCGGACCCTGCACCTGCCATTCAACAAAAGCAGTTGATGAAAGCTGCTACCATTTGGCTCCAAGAAAGAAGCTCTCTGGTGCAGGATGCAAACATAATGGCTCTCTTGAAAGTGGTGAGCAGTTTCTCATTTCTTCAGGGGGGCAGCACCATCATGAGGGCACCTGGGCCAGTCCCTCTTCATCACGGGGAAACAATGGGGCACTCTATTCTTCAGGGGGGCCACATCCACATGAAGCTACAATGGCCAATCGCTCTCATTTTCAGCAGAAATTATCAACATGTGACCACAATGTCTCCCTCAGTCATTGACGCATGCAGAAACAGGAGTCTGTTAGCATTGCCATACATTCGGAATTTCCCGGATATATCCAGAATACTGAAGTCGGAAGCAGTATCCGAGCAGAAATCGCTAAAATGTCCATGGAAGTCCCATCTGGCAACTCATGCTGGTGGTGCCATTTTCAGCAATTTCCCTTAAAAATAGCTCTTGCACTCTCCCCCCACCCCACCCCCGAATTGAGCCAAACAACTTTTCAGTCCAGATTTTCACTGTTTGAAATGTGGCAACCCTAAGTCTGTGGGCAGTGTTTCTCTTTCTCTAACCGACATAGGCTGCAGAAAAGTGTGGGCCCAGCAACCACCAGTCAGCCTGTGTCTCTGAAGTGTGCATTATCACGAGAGGCTAACAGAGGAGAGCTGGCAGGCAGATATTCTAACTACGAGATGCTACTTTCAGTGAGCGCCTGACATGCATAGCATGGGTTGCTGGTACCCGGGCTGTGCAGAGAGGGCTGGGAGGGAGGGAAACGGATGGAGTACGCATGCACATTCAACTGCCTAAACATGTCTGTGTCACCTGGCCACAGAGATAAGAAGAGAAGAGTCATTCCATTGTCTGGAGAGGGCACTTCCTGGTTTGCATGGAGAAGCCATTTTCAAGGTAGCCCAGTGGTGGACGTGCACAGCTGTATTGAGACAGTGCCAGGTGTTGAAATTTTGCACCCCTGACCATCTTGTGCCTGGAGTAACTGCCCCTGTGCTATGCCACTGGTGCCTGAGGATGGCGTGGAACAACAACAGCAGCAGCAACAGCAACAACAACAAGTAAAGATAATGGAGAAGGGGACAGGAATGTAGTCAGCATCCCAGATACATCAGGATGACAACCTGCAGTGTCCGCTAGGCTTGGACACAGTTGAAGGCACTGGCTGTGTGCTCAACAAACATTGAAAGCACACAACTTCCCCCAAAGAGTCCTCAGAGCTGTTGTTTACCCTCACAGAGCTACAGTTCCCCACATCCTTAACAAACTTCAGCTCCCAGGTTTCTTCGCAGAGGGAGTCTTGTGCTTTAAATGTATATTGTGCATGCAGCCACAAATTGGCAAGCTTCAGATGGGCAGAAGAGGAGCAGGAACGGGCATGACACCTTTGATAAAGCATCTGCCAGACAGAAAGATTAGGAGAGGGAGGGAGAGAGACAAGCTGTCAGCAGGCAGTGGGTGGACTAAAAAGCAGTGGGCAGAGGCAGGCCTTGTCTGGCACCCTATGGCAGGCAGGGAATGCTGAATAGTAGAGAGACAGAACAGATGGTGGCAGATGGGGACCTGAGCAGCAAAACGTGTGTGAGGTAAATACAGGAGGAAGATTGCATTTGGGCAGGAAAAGTGGCAGCCCAGAGATTGGTTGCATGGGCAGGGACAGCGTCTTGGACTTGGCAGTGTGATGGTCACCTCAAGTCACAGGGAAGCCCACCATCTATGGAAGGTCAGCCTTCACCAACACCAGATGCTAAGAAACAGAAAGAGTTGTGAAGGGCAGTGAACAGGGTAATATCCACGGGAGATGGGGTGGGATGATGCGATGGAGAATGTGCAAATAAAGATAAGAATTCGCAAGAAAAACAGCAAAACACTTGGGCAAATCTAAAGAGAAAGAAAAGAAACAGATGGACAAAACTACAAAAATGAGCGCAGGGTGTGGACCAAAGGTGGACAATCTATCCCAGGGTTAGAACTGGGAGGAACTGTATGGAGGGTTAGGGGAGGGGTAACACCTCAGGTGAAGATAGAAGTGCCTGGTGTGCTCTGGTCCATGGGGTCACGAAGAGTCGGACACGACTAAACGACTAAACAACAACAAGCACCTCAGGTACACATTGTGCTCCTTCTGGGGTAGTTTGGTTCTGCCCCCCTGCACTCAGCTCTCACCTGTGCCTCCTAGAAGCTGTCAGAATGTGACAGTGGCCACACCCCAGGAATGATTTCGACGGGACAGCAAAAACAGGTCCCAAACCCTTGGTGAGTTAGGGATCCTCTGCCTGCACAGACAGGCTCTGGTGGATTGAGGGGAGAAGACCAATAGTGGGTCCCATGGTCAAGAATGAGGTTTTTGCGTGTGGCATAGAGGGAAGTGAGGGGCAGATGGGGCTCGTCAACCTGGGAAGGTAGCCCAACTGGAAGTAGGAAAACTCTGGTCCTAAACATCTGCTGCATTGTGGGATATCTGCAGCAGAAGAGATGGCTAAGGCATAAACCCAACACAAATCTGGAGTGGCGTCCCTAAGACCTTGTACACCTGCTTCTGGCAGCTCCTGCAGTCAAGTATTGCTCAGCTTTCCTTTGGACCACTTCAGAGAGGCCAGTGTGTGTGTGTCTTGTTCTCTGGGCAGCCCAGGATCTCTATAAATACTGCCCAGGCTTGTGCCCCAGGGAGGTCACTGGGGTGCCGCTAATGCTGCGGTTTGGCTTCACCCCCAGAGGTGCACTCCATTGTCTCTCAAGACAGATGGACGCCAACAACGACTACTCTGCCGACGGAATTAGCAGCAAGAAACTCAAAGCAGCTATTATGATTTATTATATTTATTCTACCCCCTTCCTCTCACGAGATCCCAGAACAGCTTTCCCATTCCGCAACAGTTTTCACAGTGCCCTCTCCACAGTGCCCCTCACTGGGTACTGCCGAATTGTGACACTAACACGAGGGTCACAGTGATGCATTTACAATGCTAGTTGGCCTTTGGCTTAACTTGCTAGATGGTTTTGCATCCCAGGCTCACAGCAGGACATTATGAGAAAATAATAGCACTGCATTTTGTTTTCTTTCTTTTTTACTTTTAACCAACTGAAAGGAAATCAACTAATTTGGACGTTGTCACTTTATTAATTAAAAGCAAATGCACATCTCTACATGAGACTTGTTTCCAAAGAGAGGTGATGAAAGCTGTGAGAGGTGGATAGACAAGTTGAAGGAACCCTAGTACATAAAAAACAACACCCCTGGCATATAAAGGAGAGTGTTTGGCTAGAAACATTCTCTCCCAACATGCCTTTTGTATGTAGAGGGATTACTTTTGCATGGTGAAGTATTTAGTCATGTGAGCTCCCACCCAGGACTCAGGTTTACCATCTTTGGGGAAACAAGGTCCTTCAGTTCCTGACACTGAATGGAATGCAAGCGTGTGATGATAAGCAACCTGAGAGACAAAGGAAACATGCAATAGCCTCAAACACATTTTAAAATTGTAAAGTGAGATAACCAAATATTTCATCTGGGTTGAGACACATAAATCCTGAAATGTTTGGTAACCGAAGTATTCTGCAGGATTTAACATTAATGAATGTTAAGCTCCTAACAATCTGCTAAGATAATCCATGCTGTTTTTCTGATAAAAAATGTAACTTACTTAATGGGGCAATGGGGGAAAATAATTCACATTAGCAGTATTTATTGCAACCTTCACAGACAGTGTAATGCAAGCCATTACCCTGAAGATGCCCACATTTTTGAATGGTAGTGATTGTGTATAGGGAGCTTGCAAGTTATGCACATTTAACTTGTGTGCATTCAGCTTTATGCGCTTGGCAATAAAAAAATTACACTAAATTAAAAAGGGGGTGGGCATCTGGGGAAAAAGTCTTTGGCAGTCCTATCTACTACCTTTTTGACTATACACGATTTTGGCTTTACACAAGATCCCCAGAATATAACCTGATAGATCATGAGTCTCTTAATCTCAGGGTTGTGGGTTCGAGTCCTGCATTGGGCAAACGATTTCTGCATTGCAGGGGGTTGGACTATATGAACCCCAGAGTAAGTTGAGAATTGCCTGTATTGTTGCAATCCTAGAAATTGCCAAATTTTAAGATAGCAGTGGGGAACCTCTGGCCCAGAGGTCCTAATTTGGCCATGGGGCCATTTCCTCCAAACCACATCTGCCTGCCCCACCAATGAGGATGTGGAGGAAAAAATGGGAGCTTGAGGTGTGCTCCACATTGCTCCTTGCGAAGAGAGACTGTCTCTCAGTGCTGGTTAGTGTTGACTCAGGGAGTCCCTGCAGTACAGAGATCCCACCAGGTGCTCCCTAGTGCTGCCAATGGGGCTTTCGTTATGAATCACCTGCTGCGCACCGAAAGCTATTTGCATGAATGTGGTTCGTATTCCTTTCTCCTTGTGCCAAGACTGCTTCCCTCTCTTTCCGCTCTGTGCTATGATGAACATTCTATCTGAGCTGAAATCTAGAAGATAGGTTTAACTGAGATAGAGAAAGACTATAAACTATTGGTTTGTAGCCTGTTGGGAACTTGGTTTTAAAGGTCTTTTCGTGTGTGTTTTAAGGGTTTAAAAATCAGAAATTCATACATTTTTGCCAGCCTCGGGGAGTAGTAGAAATAGTATAACCACCTTATACAAGAAGTGTCAGAATGTGCAATTCTATTAATGCTTTGAGATAAAAAAACCCCATCAGTATCAGGAGACAAGCTATGAAAAACTACTATACACCTTCTTGCCAGGGGGGATATACAGGGGTATGATATGGGGTGAGGACCTCAAGTCCAGAGGTAGGATTCTTGTTATTTAATAACATTTTAAGGATTGGATAGGCTTGTTACACCAGTATTTTAACACGATGTGGTGTTGACTTGTTTCAGATTTTGATATATGCTATGTTATGTTATATTTATTATTCTGATATTTTGGGTTCTGCTGTTTTCTGTTTTCAGCTTGGGGCTTCCCCCAGGAAGGAAAAGTGGGATATAAGCCATAAATGAAACAAACATTTCCCCTGCATTTCAGACCTCATCAGATTATTCTTCCAGCCAACTCATCTCAGGGAGTGACATTGTTTTACGCACTCCGTATGAATGCTGAATGCACAAAGCCCTTTGCTTCTTAAAAAAAGGAGTCTGTGCCATTGCTAATAACTTTGGGATAGTTCTTGACTTTGGGATAGTTCCCCAGCCACTCTGGGAGGCTTCCAACACTTATAAAAACATAATCAAATGTCAAACATTAAAAACTTCCCACTAGAGGGCTGCCTTCAGATGTCTTCTAAAAGTTGTGTAGGTCTTTATCTCCTTGGCATTCCATGGGCAGGCGCCACTGCCGAGAAGGCCCTCTGCCTGGTTCCCTGTAACTTCACTTCTTGCAGTGAGGGAACTACCAGAAGGCCCTCGGAGATGGACCTCAGTGTCCGGGCTGAATGATGGGGGTGGAGATGCTCCTTCAGGTGTGCTTTAGACCAGAGGTGGGCAGACTTCAGACCTGCAGCACCTGACTTTGTTTTGGATTTAGTAGAACTTCTTCAAGGTCCACCATCAGAACTAGGTGCAAAATAGTGGCTATGGGGCACAGGCAACCTCTGAGCATATGATCACCCCAAGGATTTGTTTATATCCCCAGAATTAAGCTCACAACCCTTATACACAAAAATCTATTCTTGGTTTCCCACCAAGCTTTTCTTTATTTCACCAGCCTGCTGGGAATAACTGGGAGTGTGCTACCTCACCTTTAGACAATCCATCATTATTTGGCCTCTCCCCTCAAACTGTAATTTGGAATGCCAATCCTACAAACATTTTGGGCAAGGGTTACTGAGATTATCTTGTGCATCACGTTGAACTCTGGATAGCACTATAGAAATGCTAGGCATCATCTGAATGACTTAATCTATACTTGGGAAAGGAACAGGACACAACAAATATGACCTCTTCTACTTCTTTAGCTGTGTAAAACTGTTTCTATTACACCGACATAAGCTGATGTCACTTAAAAAAAAATCTTCAAGTTAAAGACTTGTTATTTTTGTTAATTTGGGTGGGAAGGAGAAGAACAAGGAGGGGGAGGAAGTGTCAAGAGATGATAGGAAGGGGAGAATCTCTGCCTCACCTCTTAATTATTAGCAATGAAAAGATCTTCGTGATTTTGCTCCGCGACCAGCACTGCCTTCTATTTTTGTAACAGCAAGCTTACATTAGCATTTATTTGCTAAAAATAAACATATTTCGAATGCAGTTCATTATATAGTGCATTAGAGTAAAGACTTAATTCACAGCTCCCAGTCAAGAAGAAATTGTTTTAAAAGGCAAATTGTTTCGTGCAAATAGTCACTCTGTGTTGAGCTCACAGTCTTTCAGCTTGAGCTGTGGTCTGTCTTCTCAGTGTCGTGAAGACAAACAATGTTCCAGAAACTGAGGAGAAATTCTATGTACTGTAATTCTATGTACTGTAGCGGTATTCTACTTTCGGTCTTCTTCATGAAACCCGGATAGGTAAGTCAGCCCGGGTTTCCCCGGACGTCCGGCAAACCTAAAAATGATTGTATTTAGGGCTGAGACAGATGACTAGTGCCTCTTTCGGGCTGCCTGAAAGTGTGCAAAGAGAAGTTTCCCCTGGGCTTCATAACAGCCACATACCACTGAGCCATGCCAAATGTTAGCGCTATGAGACATAACTTGTGCTTCTTGCTCCAGAAAGCGCTCAATGAGCCTCCAATAAACGGATGGCAAAACCCCAGCATGGTTACATTTTCCTCCACCAGAGGGCAGCTATAGTTATGGTTCTCTAATTCACTGGATAAGATCTAAAGAATTGTTCTAAGAAACCAACTTTCTGTAATGCAGCTATATTTTATATTCTAACATTTCTACTCGTGTTTCTCAGGTGAAGCCTTCAATATTGGATAAAGACTCCGGCACCTGTACAAAGCATGTCATTACAAAGCCTATTCAAAATTCTCCTCATATTCGCATTCACTGATCTCATGACTGTCACTTTTATCTTTAATTCAACTCTGGTGTAGACAGGACATTTAAAATCAGTGTTAATTTAGTTAACATTACCTATTGCACGGAAAACGCTTCTGAGGTGTCATAATCATAACCATAAACATAGGAAGTTGCTTTATACCAAGATCAGTGGCCAACCCAGAGATGACAACCTTTTTGGGGGGCTGAGTATACTGTCTGTGGATTGGGGCCCCTACTCACAATAGAAGACAGAAAATTTGCATAAATTTTACATTCATGGCCATGTGCAAATTTGTGTCCTCTTTTGTGGGTGGGGGGAGGAAGCAGCACCCAGAAATAAATCAGGGGTGACATATGCACAAGAAGATGTCCAAGAATATCAGCAGACCTCCAACGCCATTAACAGCTACAAGGCAACACAAAACTGTGGATTCTTGTCCTATCGCTTCCCTTTAACAAGGCAAGCTTCACTTGCAAATTTTCTGCTTGTCAGGTAGCTTGTAAAGGCACACAGGGGGTCAAGATGACTCTCTTGCTTTAGGCTACACTCAGCAAACTATTTACTCTGCCATTGATATCTTGGGTCAATAGGAACCCTGCAGAAATAAGTAGTTTGCTGATAACAGACCTGGAGACCGAAATAGAAAAACAGCCGTGCTGTAGTTTGGGCCGCTTTGTCCGACAAAGTGAAAAATTAAAGGTCTTCTAGTATATATTGCAAGTCTTGTTCTAAAGCCACCAATATTTCTGTTAATCCTTCAAACGAATCCCCAAAAGAGTTCGCTTTGAGAGGAATTCACGCAACAAACATATTGCTATCATGAAAGCTGAATAAGTATTGTGTAGCTCCCTCACACCTAAAATGTCACAACCTTCCTCAGAATCAACTGCCTTCTACGCTGGTAACTATTTCAGGTTTTCTAGTTCACAAAGGATTCTATGGTTGTACCTGAGGAAGGACAACTTTGGATGAGAAGAGAAGGCAAACAACTTCAGTCATAGTCCCACATCTCCCTTTTCCTCTCAGTGTAAACTGCACAGCAATTACTCCTTACGTTAAAAGTAGATATAGGGTAGGAATGCTTTTCCAAGGGCCCAGCATGCAACCTTCCAGGGGCCCAACTCTGCTGACAGCACACCAGCTATTTATCCTTTGAAGGGTGTGTGTCTGCCTTGTTTGTTGCGTCCTCCTCGTGTCGCCCTTCCAACCCTCTCTGGGCACCATGAAGACACGCGCCAACACTGTTACCAGGTAGCAGAAGTGAAACTTTTTCCTTTCCAAGGAGTTTTGGAGGGAATCTGGAAGGCAAACCTTCGGCTGCCTCATCCTCTTCTGTCACAGGGAAGAATACCAGAGGGGTCCAGGGGAATTGTGGGAAAGGGGATGGAAGTGGTGGAGAGTCTGCATGTAGCACTCATTTCCCAGCAGCCCAATATGACCCAACATCATCCATCTAGTCCTTGGGTCCCCAATGTGGTGCTTTTCAAGGTCCCCGCCCTCCCCCCCAGTTGATGGGTACTGCCACTGAAATGGTGTGCATGTGCCGTGTCATGTGAGGAATTAATTGAATTAATTAATCAGGAATTAACCAGTTATGTGGGGAGGGGCTTACCTGGGCCCTCCCAATATTTTATTCCCGTTGGCACCCCTGAGCACAATGCAGCTTTATAGGTGCGCATGGAAACCAAATTTTATTATTTCTTCCTTTGTACAGTGATGTTAGTTTGCTATGAAGCAACCGTCACATTCCTACAGAGATTTGTTCTTCTCTCTGCTTAAAACCAAGTGAACCAACTGAGGCCGGACACAGAATTATACACAGATGCATACCTTTCAACATTCCTCAGATGAAAACAGGGACATTTTCATCTGAGGAATGTTGGAGGGTATGTGTCAGGAGGCTGTCAGCGGCTCCCGGCTGGTTGCCCAGGAAAGTAAAAAGACAAGGAAAAGTTTCTTACCGTCCTTTTTTATTTCAATCTTCACACAGGGATGCTATAGAACCCAGATAATGGCGTCCCCAGTGAATCTCCACCCGACCGTCTCTCCCACTTCCTCATCCGTCACTTCTATGGGTGCTGCTTACATGCCCTCTGTCTTTGAGCTCTTTGCTCTCCTACTTTTAAGGCTCGCCGGGTTCTGGGAGATGGAGGGTCTGGAATGCTTTCTAACGACAACGTGTCAGCTGGGTGTTGTTCTGGCTGTCCCATGGTTTCCCAGCTATCCGCCTCATCTGCTATCTCCCTCAAACCCCTGTGGTAAATCTATACTGTCTTCCTCCTCACTGGAAGGGTCAAGATGGGGAGGCGGTCTCCACCATTGCTCCTCTGCCCAGTCCCTGGCAGTATGATGAGACCACACATGCTACAGCAGTGGTGGGGAAGCTCAGGCCCAGGGACCAAATTTAACCCCCCCCTTACCTGGTCCTTGGGAGTCTCTACAGGCCACACCCCTCCCTAGGCCATGCTCCTCAATGGCCCTGCTCCACACCCTCCTCAGTTCTTTTGCCTGGCTGGAATGTGTTCTGGACCATCAACAATGCTGTTTGCTTGCCTGGATGGAAAGAGATGGGTGTAGGAACCTCTGTCTTTCGGGTGGGTGGATTGTAGCTTACTGTACAAAGATCAATGTTCCATGTATTGCCCCATTGTGACCCCTCCCAGCTGAGAAGCTCCTGTGCTACAGGCACAAAGGGGAAAGCCCATAAAAATGCACTAAAGCAGCAATGTTTTTCGGGAGCAACTATTTTTCTCATTCTTTCGCTTGACTGCTCATGGCTTCTTCTTCTTTTGCACTTGACCGTTCAGTTTGAAACATGAACAAAGTGGGTTTTGCTTTGCTGGAGAGGCATTAGAGCATGATACCCATTGTACAGAAAAGCACAACTTATTTTGCACAAGAGAAGAGCATTGGAGGAGCGTAGGATAACGTGAGGTGTACAGCATAAGCTGCCATTCAAAACTACGAAGCGAATGCCTCCCTATTATGTTTGACATTTCTCTGTGTGAAGGGAATTTTCTGGCTCATCATTCAACATTTCCCTTCCAGGGTTTTTCAAAATCTTTTGAGCTTCCTGGCACTTCATCACTTTCTTCTTTTTCTGCTCTCACAATACCACCCTTGCTAACCACTGCAGTTCAATAACTCGTATATGACTATTTTTATCCAGAGTGTTCTTCTGAACTAGCAAAAGGGGAGGTTCTGCAGGACCAGGCAAGGGAGTTCCCACCAGGGCTTTGCCACAGCCTCAGTTAGAGCCAGCTGGGAGTTGGTCCTTCAACGCTGCTGCGAAACTACATTACCAATAATTAGCTGCCCTGTTCAGAGCTGCATGTGGCTCGTTAATCTCCTTGAAACGAGGGCTTAATGAAACATGCTCTGTAAACCAACTCAGCCTAGAGTCCCAACTGCAGGGAAGACGGAAGTCAAATTCAAAAAGAAAACATGGTGCATGTCAACAAGTTCATTTCAACAGGAGTGAATACGTTTTAAATAATAAGGAAAAGCAATTTCCGCCTTGATGAATACGTTGCATTTTCTCCCCTATATTAAAAAAGGAGGGAGGGGGGAAACCCACCGGAAATATACTCAAGAGAAATCATGCTCATAGCTAAACCAGCCAGACAGTAATTTAAAAAGCAAATAAATTGTAATCAGAACCACAATTACAATTGCCTCCATTACATCGTGGAGTTTCTGGATTTGCTCACTTTAACTTTCAAATCGGAGTAAGGCCAAAGACTCAAAATAATATTTTCAAGTAATCACTAGGGAGGGAGGGGAAATTCAGTTCACATTTTAATGCACATCTGTTTAATTCACACTTCCTGACACAATAAATGAACTAAAACAGAGCTATGCTTCAAAATTCACACTCCTCTAAATTTTATGGTGCAGTACTCCAACCAAGTAATTAGTACAAAAATGCATATATTAAGGGATACTGCTGGCAAAAGAGATATCTCTTCAGTAAAATTACATACCAAAATGTGCAGATTAGGAGAAATCCACACTAAAATGCTGATGAATTTTCATTAGGACTTAAAGAATAAATCTCAAACAGGTACAGAAATGCGGAGGACTAAACTTAAAAGTGGAAAAATGAGAAAACAAAAGAAAACCAAAATTGACAGACTTGTCCATCCCTAGTAGTCAGAAATAGAACTTCCTGGGGGTTATCTGGGCCTTGCATTTCCAGAGATGCATCTTGCAGATAAAAGTAGAAGAAAGTCATGAAAATCCAACAAAGAGCCGAAAAAAGCTACATACTCAAAAGCTTTCTGACATGAAAGAACTGAGGCAGCAGATCTGTTTGCACAGCTGGTGAAACTTCATGGTGCTTGCTTGATCCTAAAGAAATCTCTTCCCCAAAAGGGAAGGTGGTTAAGCTTGTACGGGATTGAGGATTTTAGAATCTGTTAAATGGAATTTTAATACAATGATGGTGGAATATTTATATGTTCTTTAAAACAGCATTGTTGTCCAATCCAAGCCTTTGGGACCTGGACAACACAGAAAAAAGATGGAAGCCAAGGGTGAGATTAGTTATTTCAGTCCCACATATATTTTGTTCCTGAGAAGGCTGGTGTGTTCTTCCACTGTCTGAAACCAGCAAACCCTTGACTGATATTTGAAGTAAGTTTTAGGATCATCAATTACTGGGCCACAGACCCTATGGTTCCTTCAGTCATGGCTTCACTTTGGTAAACTAAAGGCCTTCAAGTAGATTTGAGCTTTTGCATAAGAACATCCTGTTCTCACAGTGGCCAACCAAAAGCCCAGGAGAAGACCATCTCCCCTCCTGAATTCTCCAGCACTGGTATTCAGAAGCATGCAGCCTCCGACTGTGGAGGCAAAGTCTAGGTGCCATGAGACTGTGAAAGTGTCTAGTGGCAGCTGGTAATAGGGGTGGAAGAGATCACTGCTTGAGAGCTTGGATAGCTGTAGCCAGGCAAAGAGCACAATACTGGGCTAAATCAACAAAAGGCCTGTCTCGGTAAAGGTAAAGGTAAAGGGACCCCTGACCATTAGGCTGACTCTGGGGTTGCTGCACTCATCTCGCTTTACTGGCCGAGGGAGCCGGCATCCAGCTTCCGGGTCATGTGGCCAGCATGATTAAGCCACTTCTGGCAAACCAGAGCAGCGCACGGAAACGCCGTTTACCTTCCCGCCGGAGCAGTACCTATTTATCTACTTGCACTTTGACGTGCTTTCAAACTGCTAGGTTGGCAGGAGCAGGGACCGAGCAATGGGAGCTCACCCCGTCGTGGAGATTCGAACCGCCAACCTTCTGATCAGCAAGTCCTAGGCTCTGTGGTTTAACCCACAGCGCCACCTGTGTCCCTGTACGTCATAATAGAAGGCAGCTTCACCAACTAGATCTCAAACAGCTTTGTGAACTAAGCCACAACTGATAGACTAGCAAAAAAAGTGTTGTACAAGTGTAGATTTGAGTTGACCCAAATAACACACCAGATCTTGGAGTAGATTTACAAGTGGTTTGATGACACGGCATTTAGGCTTGCCGTATATCCAGAATTTCCTGGACATAGCTGGAATACTGCAGTCGGAAGCAGCGTCCGGGCGAAAACTGCAAAAATTCTCCAATATGGAAACCCATGTTGGCAGTGTCGTTTTTGGCAATTTCCCTTAAAGATAGCCCAGAAACTACTTCTTATTTTTGGGGGGATGATTTTAAAGCTCAGCAACATTGCCAAAAAAACTTCAATGACTTTTGTGTCCAGATATTCACTTTTTTAAATATGGCAACCCTAATGGCACTGAATCTGTGAACTTATTTATTGAAAAAGCTGGGCCTGCTGAAAGCTTCATCCATGGTTCCTTATCTATGATGGCTGTTTCACTGCATCACTTGATGCTGTGGTCATCAAGGAATGGACACATATGGGTGAATGCATCCTTTAAGCAAGGGTGTATATACATTCTGTAAGAACCTGCCGTCCATGCAGGACGGGGTCATTTATAGGTCAACTGGACTGTTCCCATTTTCAGGCTGATTTGCCAATAGCACCATTACGTCTGCAAATTGTGTCCAGTTTCAGCCTGAGCCAGAAGGACCTGCGTTGCTCTAATTTCTTCCTAGAAATACCTTTGGTTATTTCCCCCCCTTCCCTTTCCTAAATGTTTCCCTGGACACCAAGAGCACTTCTAAGCCTCTTAAGGATTTTCTTTTTCTTTTTTACTCTGTGCTTCCTGATAAGGCACTGAGGAGCATGACCGCTGAAGAAGTAGACAGCTGAGTCCTCTGCAGCATTTTTCTCTCCTGAGAGGCAAAGCTAGATACAGATACGGACATAATTTGGAAGCAAGCAGCTTCATTATCAAACCTTTTAGCTAGACTAGAGCATTAAATGTAATAAGGTAATGCCATATCCATGTATCCCATTAAGAAGTACTGTGTGGTTATTATAATGAATCCTGTTGCAACAGGTATGAGTACCTATTTTCAATTTCATTTACAATAGATTCTGGAAAGTGGTGTGTCTGCTTGTTCTCTGTAGGTCAAGCTGCCTCGAGATACTTGTTGCCAAACATGCCATGGGGATTCCTGAGATGGGGGTGGTGATCTTTTTCAGTGTCTGGATGCCAGACATTTTAAATCAAGATGGTGGCTCTAAACATCACTTTGCTGTGACTTCACTCGTTTTTTGGCCTAGGTATGGCTGTGTCTCATGATATCACCACCAAACTTGGCATAAGGGTTCCTGACGTGGAGAAACAGACTTTGTTGCCATTTGGACACCAGGTGCCATTGTGAATCAAGATCAAAGCATCACTTTGGTGCAACTTTGCCCATTTTTGACATAATTTCAGCCACTTCTCCAGATATCGTTGCCAAACTCAGCACAGGGGTTCCTGAGGTGGGGATGGGGAAATATGTCAAAAATTGGGCGCCATTTTGAATCAATGGAGATTGAGTAGCTTCCCCCCTTATGTACTGCACACAGAGTCTAGATCTATGGCTTTTTGTTTGTTTGTTTGTTTTCCTTTTGTAGCTGAAAAGTGCTTCTTGTGAAACTGGCCTCATTCAGAAAAGCTTACTGCTGATTGATTCTGCATTACTCCACAGTATGTCCATTTGAAAACATAGTTCTGGCACCTCTCAGATGGGCGCCATTATAAGAGAACAAGGGAGGCACCTCTTTTTCTAGAAAGCTAACAAAGACTTTGAAACAGCCGTTAGGTTAAATGGGGCACTGCCCTGTCCACTTCAGTCTGCCCTTAGCCAGACCCTACATGCCTGCTATCTTATTTATAATTAGTCCAAGGGGTAGCACAGCCTGTCAGTTTCATCGTCCTCCTCCTTAGTCACAGAGTTGCCCTTGTAGAATTCAAGAAGGAGGAGGGTGAGGACAAAACCAGAATTAGTTAGCTATGGCTCCACCTACCACTGGGCTTCCTGCCTCCACTGCTCCTATCAAAACGTACATGTTTATAACCCCAGTAAAAAACTGCATTGCAGAGGAAGAGTATATTTTGAAGTTAATATTTCAAGCATTAGCCAGTAGGTTGTGGCCTCGTAGACATGACCTTATTCGCCATCACAGTATGCATCCCATGTTCACTTGTTCGCAAAACAAATGTGCCAATCCCTAGGGTCACCATTTCAGAGACTTAATTTGGGTCAAGATCCCAATTCATTTAGAGTGGGCAGTGTGCCCAGAAGCAGAATTGCACCTGGTCCTCAAGGAATGATTCTGATTGATTATATTAAAATTCTTGCAACATACTTTTGGGCATTACACACCAGAGAATTATTTTATCAGCCCTCTGAGAAGCAATTCACTCCAATGTCTGCCAGGCTGACCTGTGCCTTGCTCAGCCCAAGTGCAGTATCTGAGAATATTCTGTGTACTAAGTTCCTTTTTTCAATCAAGACCCTGAGCCTATAAGTTGCTATTCTATCACATTATCAATAAGCTAATAAGCGACCTATATAATAATTTGAGAGCTAGAAATATTTTGTTCCCTGAACATCTAATATGAAGAGACGTTTTGGGGAATTCAAAAGTTTTCTTACCACTTTCTGACTTTTCAATAGACCCTAACAAAAAGTTATTTAATGGGTGTTGTTTTTATACCTCTAAAGTTCTTCCCAACTTCTCCTGAACCACCAGTTTTCTGCCCTTCTGCATGATTCCCCAGGTCTTCAAGGTCCTCAAACCCCCAACTGCTGCCTATTAGAAAAATATTATTTCCAATATAGGGGCAATAAAGTCTTTCACACAGAGACAGTAGACTGCTTCCCTTAGGTATCAGGTTGGCCACTGTAAGAAAAGAATGCTGGGCTCGCTAGGCCATTGGTCTGATCCAGCAATGCTCTTACACAGTTAAAAAAAACCTGTCTTAGAGAAGGTTTGAAAACTAGCTCTCAGCTTCAGATGATAGGTTCCACAATTGACTTGTGGGACTGTTTTCAGGCAAGTCACTCCTCGGGAGATGAAGTGAGAAAATAACTCAATGAAGACTTCACAACTCCAGAAATGCACAAATAAGTCAACTCCTGTTTTAGGGGCAATATTGAGCAAGCAACTGTATCTACAGGAGAATTATGTGAGGTGGGATTTCAGGTTGGTTTTTTTTTTTTTTTTGGAAAAAGGATAATCAGGCAGCATTTCGGTTTTTAATGCCTAGAGGTCAGGATTCAGCTCCCACGAGGATACATACTGATCCTAAGCTTCTAAGATGCCAATAATATCCATTTAAATAAATATTATTTTATTCATTACAAACATTTATACCCTCCCTTTCTGTTTTTTTAAAAAAAGCTTAAAGTGGCTTACAGCATAGAGATTAAAATAATCAACAAACAAAACCCCAAGCTAAAAGAAAACTAGACGGGAACGGCATATTCAAACATACTAAACTTCCAGAGAATGAAACAATGCCTATTGAAATAAAAACATCTTCACAAGATGGTAGAAAACCAGTGAGGGGTTGAGGAAGCACAGTGATCTCCAGAGAAAGATGACGGCAAGGCCACAGAAATTTGCATCAGAATAATTCATTTTAGTCAGATTGCAATTCTCGGGGCAATTCTCTTTCATTTACTCCAGGATAACTTACTGAACTCCCCTTTCTCCAAATAAAATTTGCACACTCCAAATAAAATTCGACATGTGTGACATGTCGGCTTAAAAGGTGCATTAGCAAAATGGCAGGATGCAGAAATAAATCTAGGTGTTGTGTATGAGAACAGAACTGATGACTATATTGCTGAAAAAGATGTGTGAGGAGCCAAGTGACTTGGTTGATTCTTTTGAACTCTGGGAGATGCTCTGGAATAGATCTGTTGAGTCAGAGCTTTGCAACTCTAGTGAAATAGAGCCTGCTCATCACAAAGCAGAATAAACTCTGTTCACTTTCATCAGTTCTTATGCCGGTCCTGTAAGACCCTCTTCATTGCAGGATAAGAGAGAGAGAGAGAGAGACAGAGAGAGAAATCATGCCTCCGTTTGAACAAACACCTGGGACTTTACAAAGGCAATAACCATTCATGGATTTGTAATAAGGCTGTGCCAAAGTACCACAGAAGACTTAAGAGATCATCGCTCTCACTTCTGCCAGCCATTATTTTAAATTATTCACTGAAGGAATAGTGCTTGATGCTGCCTATATGTAAGTAATCTCAAGACAGAGGAATTAACAGCCCAGTCACCTGCAAAGTGGTCCAAGATAAATCCTACTGGGTTGAATGGGATCTACTAAAACGTAAATGTACACATAATTTCAGCCTAACATGGGCAGCTATTTCATATGCCTTTGCCGTTGGATAAAGGCAGAAAGAAAAGATCTGTTAAAACTTATATATTATTATTTTTAAATGTGTACCCCATCCTTCCTCCTGAAGGAGCCCAGAGCAGCAAGATATAACACCGATGTACTGATAAGGCTGGAAACCATGTAAGGAATGGACAGAGATGGTTAATATAGAACACTACAGTGGAACCTCTGGTTACGTACTTAATTCGTTCCGGAGGTCCGTTCTTAACCTGAAACTGTTCTTAACCTGAAGCACCACTTTAGCTAATGGGGCCTCCCGCTGCCGCCGAAGCACAATTTCTGTTCTCATCCTGAAGCAAAGTTCTTAATCTGAGGTACTATTTCTGGGTTAGCGGAGTCTGTAACCTGAAGCGTCTGTAACCTGAGGTACCACTGTATTGAATTTCTAGTCAGAGTAGGCTGCTGAAATTAATGGATCTAATTAACTTATGCCCACCAATGTCAATGGGTCTACTCTTAGTACAATCAACACCGAATTCAACACTGTTTGGAGTGAATCTGGCAAAAGCTGTTCCTTCTCTTATTTATATCGTCTGGATTATATGGTTGAAGTGTGCCATCGCTCCTACGGAATACTCCTGTTCCAAGCTCCAGCCAGCAGGGACATTCCCTTTCAGGGTATTACAAAAGGCTGGGGGCTCAAGCGGGACAATGCCTCCCTCCCCTCACTGCCTCTGACTGAACATATTACGGATCCTACAGGCCAAGGAGCATGGCCAGCCATTACTGAGCTGTGTTTAGGTGGGGTGGGATGCCCTGCCTTAAAAGAAAACCCCATGCTTTGTACTTCAGCACACCTTGGGGTTCATCTGAGCAGGCTGAGAGGCCTCCCCTGCCATTTCTCAGTGGCCCTGCTTGACCCCCTCCCCATGTGGTTGCGAGAGAACACTTTCAGAGCATTTGCGACAAAACTCCATGCTGTATGTCAGTACGGAAGGTAACACACAAGTATTTTTAAAATTCAATTTAGACTTTCAATGTGCGTATATATTATGTGAAGGATGGGCGGGGAACCTCACTTCAGGAGATGGGCTATATTAATATAGTTCCATGAAGCTCTGCTCGTTTATGGAAGGGCAAATGCTAATGTGGGGCAGCGCTGCCAAGAAACCAGAAATTAAAAAAACAAAACTGGCTGGATGCCAAGATTTTGTGTATACAAAGACAAAATTCGGGATTAAGCTAGAATGTTATGCTGCAGATTCTCATGAGTGCTTGCGCATGAACTATGTAGACCAGGCGTCTTCCACATGGAGTTAACAACCCAGGAGTAGATTTATTATTATTATTACAGTGGTACCTCTGGTTGCAAACGGAATCCGTTCCGGAGGCCCATTCGCAACATGAGCAGAACACAACCTGCAGCGGCGCGTCTGTGCATGCACAGGTTGTGATTCGCCGCTTCTGTGCATGCGTGCGACGTCATTTTGCGAGTCTGCGCATGCGCGAGCGGTGAGGAGCGGCGAAACCTGGAAGGAACCCTTTTCGGTACTTCCGGGTCACCGCAGGACGCAACCTGAAAAAACGTATTGTGAAGCAAACATAATATGAGGTATGACTGTATTATTATATTGTTATTATTATTATTATTATTATACGGCCCTATACCTGGAGGTCTCATGGGGCTCAGGCGGAGGCAGAGGCATAGGAAGGGGGGGCGGACCGCCCCAGGTGTCATCACTGAGGGGGGTGACATTTAGCGTGCCACCCGCCCACGACTCCCAAGCCTACCCTGAGCAGTTGATGGGGGGTGACCCCCCCAAATCTGCACCTGGTACCACCTGACCTTGCTATTCTTCTGGGCAGAGGTGTCTTCAGCCCCCTCAAAATTTGTTTGAAGGGGGCCCAGTCCCTCCATGCAATGCAAGGAGGATGCCCGCATCTTTGTGCATGCGTATGTATGTGTGCATCTTTTTCCCGTTTCTTTCTTTTGCTGAGACAGCAATGTCGTAAGATTCCAAACCAGCATTTCAATTAAAGGATCCCCAAGAGGGCTAGGAAGGGACGCGGGTGGCGCTGTGGGTAAAACCTCAGCGCCTAGGACTTGCCGATCGCATGGTCGGAGGTTCGAATCCCCGCGGCGGGGTGTGCTCCCGTCGTTCGGTCCCAGCGCCTGCCAACCTAGCAGTTCAAAAGCACCTCTGGGTGCAAGTAGATAAATAGGGACCGCTTACCAGCGGGAAGGTAAATGGCGTTCCGTGTGCTGCGCTGGCTCACCAGATGCAGCTTGTCACGCTGGCCACGCGAACCCGGAAGTGTCTGCGGACAGCGCTGGCTCCCGGCCTCTAGAGTGAGATGAGCGCACAACCCTAGAGTCTGTCAAGACTGGCCCGTACGGGCAGGGGTACTTTTACCTTTTAAGAGGGCTAGGGGTGATGTATTGAGGCTATAGGACTAGGACTGGGGACCCAGGTTCAGACCCTCTCAACAATGGGGCACATGAGGGTGACATCTGAACACATATAAAAAACGTTGTGAAAATGCTTTAAAAAAAAGTTTTGAAAAATATATTGAATTTGCCGTAGCTCACCATATAGTGTCACATTTGCATAATACACTTAAAATGTTTTATTTGCAGCCGTATATCTGAGTCCTTAAAGAACCATAAAGACCACAAAGAAGGCTGATCGCCGAAGAATTGATGCTTTTGAATTATGGTGCTGGAGGAGACTCTTGAGAGTCCCATGGACTGCAAGAAGATCAAACCAATCCATTCTTAAGGAAATCAGCCCTGAGTGCTCACTGGAAGGACAGATCCTGAAGCTGAGACTCCAATACTTTGGCCACCTCATGAGAAGAGAAGACTCCCTGGAAAAGACCCTGATGTTGAGAAAGATGGAGGGCACAAGGAGAAGGGGACGACAGAGGACGAGATGGTTGGACGGTGTTCTCGAAGCTACCAGCATGAGTTTGACCAAACTGCGGGTGGCAGTGGAAGACGGGAGTGCCTGGTGTGCTCTGGTCCATGGGATCACGAAGAGTCGGGCACGACTAAACGACTAAACAACAACATCTGAGTCCTTAGTGACCTTGGGCCAGTCATTATCTTTCAGCCTAACCTACCTTATAGGGTTGTTGTGAAATGTAACAAAATAATACTGACAAGGCTGTTCTGTTTTATACCACGCATTCTTACAATGGGCAGCTATTGACAGGATACTAAGAAAAAAGAAAAAAAGGACTGTTTCATTGGCACAAGAGACCTGCTTTTACTGCCCACACCAGGGCTGGGGAACCTATGAGCCATGGGCTGCCCCCTGGATTGTCCACAGGTGAGTCTGCTTGCCTTACCTGAGTGATTTTGCCTGGTTTGGAATATAACCTTGTCATGCCTCTTGTTGCCTGGGTGGAGATAGCATCTCACGTTTGCATAGCTGCAATGTAGCCTACTATATAAGGGCAAGAGTCTGGAGTCCTCCTGTGGCGCAGTGGGTCAGTGGGTCTGGCTGTTAACCAGAAGGTTGGTGGTTTGAGCCCACCCAGGGATGGCTGTGGGGAGAATTCCTGCATTGTAGGGGGGTGGGCAGGCATATCCAACTCCCAAGAGACTGTGATCTACTCCCAGTACTAAAAAACTGACAGTGATCTACCCATTGTCGTTGGAGGGAGGGAGAAGTGTGCATAGGATGGGTGGATTGACCAGAGTTGTTGAGCTTTTTTGAGGGAGGATCCCTCAAAAAGGATAAGGATCCTGCAATCTACCGGGATCAGTCAGGGATCTACCGTAGATCATGATCTACTGGTTGGACGTCCCTGGACTACATAACCCTTGGGTCCCTTCCAACTCTACAAAGATTCTGTGATCTATTGGCCTGCCCTCTTTTGTTTCTGGCTGTTCTGCCGACTGCTGGTGAAGGTTATCCATGAGAAAATACAGCACTCAGACAGGTCACTATTTCCCAGCCCTAATCTGTACCTCTGTGCAACCCAATGGCAGCCAACAGCAGAAAAGGCAAAAGGGAGACATGGTGTCTTGTGCCAGGCCATTGAAAATGCTGCCTGTGGCATGTGGGATACCTTGAACTAAACTACCTGGGCTAAAGCAATGAAACATAGAATAGGAAGGGACCACAAGGGGCATCTAGTCCACCCCCCTGCAGCACAGGGCTCAAACGCATGACCCTGAGATTAAGAGCCTCATGTTCTAGCAACTGAGCTGTCCCAGTAGTTCTCTCAATAATTTCCCACTGGAGTAACCGACACCACTTCTGAGATCATATCATTTCTACTGAGTTTTGTTATACAACAGCAGCTATAGCGGATTGAACAAACTTTCTCTCTCGCTTTTTCAATTATTTGTCCCTGGCGCTTTCTGATTTACCTCTGAAGATGTCCTTGGGCACAAATAAGGTGGCAGCAATATTAGCTTCCCCTGCCAAGATGAACCGAGAACAAGGATCCCTTAGAGAATATGAGTTCTTATTCTAGAGATGGCTGTAGGCATCCAGGAAGTCTATTGGAGAGTCCCAAACGTGCTGAATTAAACAGCAGATCTTAGCTTCGGCAGCCTTGATAGACACATCAATTTATTTTCCCTGCTGGCTGGGTCAAAGAGCTGAATCTGACTTATATTTCCTTATGCAATCCAGGCCTATGATCCAGATATCCTTTTATCTTAGTAATTAGGGAGGAATGTGATCTCAGAAATTTAAGGACAAACTGAATCATTGCACACCATTTTCATTTAGGCCGAAATCCTAAATGCACTCTTTAGAGGCGAAGCTCCTCTGGGGACTGTGACCTGGTTCACACATAATGCTAAACCAGGGGTGGGGAATGTTTTCAGCCTGAGGGCCACATGCGCTTCTGAGGGCCACATGCCAGCAGTGGGCCTGACCAGAGGTCAAAAGGGTGAAAGCATAGGAGCCAACGCTTAGGGGTCGAGGGGTCTTCATCACCCCCCCAATAAAATATTTGAGGACACACCCCCCCCAGTTGATGGGCATTGCCATTCGAATGGTGTGCGTGCACCACATCAGGTGACCAATTATTTTCTTCAAGTTGGCAACTCTGGGTGGAAGAATGAATGTAAATGTTATCTTTGTAGAATACACTGGTTTCTACACAGCTGTCTCTCTTTTCTAGCCAGGCAAGAAAAAGGCATCACCAGAATTCTAGGGCACATTTCAAAACCAGTAAAGGATGGTATGAAGTGGGGCCTGTGAGGAGTGTGAGGCGGGGAGAGTCCTAAAACCCACATAGAGAGGCTTAGAGAGTTGCATTTGACTCCTGGGTCTGAAGGTCATCATCCCTGTGATAAACCATGGTTTAATCTGATGGTCCCAAACCAGCCGTGGCTTAACCATGGCTCAGCATTACAAGTGAACCTGGCCAGTGAAACTTACTTCTATGAATAGGATTGCACTGCAAGTGGGAATCATGTGTGTGTGTGTGTTTGTGCATCTGTCTTTCTGTGTGTGCTTTTTTTTGAGTCAGGACAAATGAATTGCCCACGACCCCCCAAGTATTTTAAGTGTTTAGTTTTATCCCCCCTCCTTTCCATTCCGTTCCAACCGGCTTAGATGTTATTCTTAGATGTTATCTTTCTTCCTCTCCGTCACTCTTGGCACCTCAGTGGCTGGCTTAATTGGCAGATTAATTACCCCTTCTTCACTTGAAGCATGTCCAAGAACTTAAATCCAATTTTTTATCTTAAGAAATGGAACTAGGTGCGCTCGTGGAGACAGCGTCCAGGAGATCCAAACCCCCTTGGGGGCTTTCCATCCAGTGCCCCACCCCCTCCTTCTTTATGAACTCAGGGGTGGTTTGTTGGGCACCATGGATGAGACTGCATCTTCCTTTCCACCGGGAAGAATTTGGGAGGCTGATTACTCCCATCTCAGCCTCTAAATTACCTCGTGGGAGCTGGAGAGATGGTATTGTCGGCCATCTTCCGTGGCGCCCCTAGCGGAGCCCCAATAATTTATTATTTTTATCCTGCCCATCTGCTGATAGGGTTGCCCCAGCCACTATGGGCAGCTTCCAACACATATAAAACATAGCACAACACTCAACATTTAAAAACCTTCCCTATACAGAGCCGCCTTCAAATGTATTCAAAAGTTTATATAGTTACTCCTCTCCTTGACATCTGATGGGAGGGTGTTCCACAGGGAGGGCACCACTACCAAGAAGGCCCTCTGCCTTTATCAGCATGCCATGTGGAAGTATAGAAAAGCAAACCAGATAATCATAGAATCATAGAGTTGGAAGAGACCACAAGGGCCATCGAGTCCAACCCCCTGCCAAGCAGGAAACACCATCAGAGCACTCCTGACATATGGTTGTCAAGCCTCTGCTTAAAGACCTCCAAAGAAGGAGACTCCACCACACTCCTTGGCAGCAAATTCCACTGTCGAACAGCTCTTACTGTCAGGAAGTTCTTCCTAATGTTTAGGTGGAATCTTCTTTCTTGTAGTTTGGATCCATTGCTCCGTGTCCGCTTCTCTGGAGCAGCAGAAAACAACCTTTCTCCCTCCTCTATGTGACATCCTTTTATATATTTGAACATGGCTATCATATCACCCCTTAACCTCCTCTTCTCCAGGCTAAACATGCCTAGCTCTCTTAGCCGTTCCTCATAAGGCATCGTTTCCAGGCCTTTGACCATTTTGGTTGCCCTCCTCTGGACACGTTCCAGTTTGTCAGTGTCCTTCTTGAACTGTGGTGCCCAGAACTGGACACAGTACTCCAGGTGAGGTCTGACCAGAGCAGAATACAGTGGCACTATTACTTCCCTTGATCTAGATGCTATACTCCTATTGATGCAGCCCAGAATTGCATTGGCTTTTTTAGCTGCCGCGTCACACTGTTGGCTCATGTCAAGTTTGTGGTTTAATCAAAGGGAGGATGCAAAATCAGATGACTTCTTAAACAACCAGCTTCTCTAAAGAGAGATGTTTCCCTCTAGAGCAACAGTCATGACTTGGGACAAAATATGGACCATTTCCATATTCACCTCAATCTGTGTCTTGAGATCACCTTCAGAGCCCTTCCTTTCGATGTCACCTCCATCACAGATATGGCAGGCAACTATCGGGCAAAGGCCAAGACATGAAGTGGATTTGTTTCATGTTCTGAATGAAGTGCATTCACTTTTGTGGAGGAGAAGGAACTGCAAATGGGAAGTCCCGTTTTAGTTCTGGGCTTACTGCCAATCAGCCTCTGAGAATTTTGCCCTCATTTGACACCACTGATCAAGTATATAAAAGGTTATTTGGTCCTCCTTGTCACCTGCTTTCTTTTTTTGTAACAGTCCAAATACCAATTGATAATTTCAGTTGCTTTTTGTGTATGTAACTTACCTTGTTCTATAATTGTGGGGTTGTTGTTTTTTAAGCAATTGGGACGGTAAGTGCTTTAGCCTCTGTTATATTCAACTATTTTAGCTATTTGCTAAATTGTTGATTACCAGAACTCCCAGTAAGACAATAATGGCTGCAATCTCACAAGCCATTTTATGCGCACGCACATGGTCTTCTTGAATCTGTTTTGGTGCAGCAGCCCCCTTGTCTACGTTAAATTTCAGGCTGCTCCCCCTCTCCCAGCAACCCAACTTCACTGAAACACAAGGGCTGGCTGGACAGGCAGATAGAGCACTTACGCTCTTCTAGATCAAATGCCATTGTTCCCTGGAATGTCATGTCTTATCTCCTAAAAGATACAGAGCAGGAAGAAATGTCTCCAAAATTAGACTACTTAGATGATAAGCAAATGGAAAGTGGAACACTCAGATACAAGATAGTTTTACATAGTTGTGTGCATTACTGCAGCATCGCATTCAGTCACATGCAATTAATTGCTGGCTTCATTTATTTTCAGGTTAATAAAATGCTGACTTTTCTAGAATTCTTTCCCCCTTCCTCTTCTCATTAGGTTATGCTGATTGAGGTGGGGTGTGTGTGATTAAAATAGAGCAGAGGTGGTGGTGTGCGGTCCATGTTAAGAAACACTTTTATTTTGTCCTTCCTTTCTTGCCAGAAAAAGAGGAATGAAAATTACACCTCTAGAAGGATGATTATGTTCTGACGATGGAAGGTAGATACCACATTATCTGCTGCTAGATTGTCTTAATCAGCTTGTCATTAGGGAGCATGACCTCATGACTATGGAAAGCAGCTGGGGATGTGGATATTTTTGCAGGTGTCGCTCATGGTGTGCGTATGCATGTATGTTTTACTTGTGGTATTTATCTGTGCCTTTGATTTTGGCAACTGCAAGAGAGACTTGCTACAGGCCTACCTCTGAGTCTGAAAGGGAAGAAGAAGAAGAAGAGTTTGGATTTGATATCCCGCCTTTCACTCCCTTTAAGGAATCTCAAAGCGGCTAACATCCTCCTTCCCCTTCCTCCCCCACAACAAACACTCTGTGAGGTGAGTGAGGCTGAGAGACTTCAGAGAAGTGTGACTGGCCCAAGGTCACCCAGCAGCTGCATGTGGAGGAGCGGAGACGCGAACCCAGGTCCCCAGATTACGAGACTACCACTCTTAACCACTACACCACACTGGCTTCTTTATCTGTAACCCTATTCTCCAGGTTCCGCCTATCTTTTTCTTGACGTGCCAATAAACGGAAGCTGAATTCTGAAAAGACAGAGGGCTTATTTGCTCTTGTGTCTAGGGAGTGGAGAGGAGGCCTGTTTCGGATGGAGGCTGCACTCCCTTGGAAGGAGCAGGTACTTCTGAACCCAGCATTGTCACGGGAGTCTCAGATAGTCTCAGGGGCTAACAGCGCCTATTTTCAACTACGACTGGTTCACCAGTGTGGGGGTGCAAATATCCAGGGTGTGGGGGTCAGGTGGGGTTGCTATGAGGAATTATGAAATATGGAGCAAGCCATTGGTGTCAGCAATGAAAGCATTGCGTTGACTGGGTTTGATTCATCGACAATAGTTTCTGATCCAATCCCACAAGCCTCTGCACCTCTGCCATTTGCTTTCTCTACACCTGACAGGCACATATAAGCATTCTAAACACACAGGCCAGTTGTTCATCAGGCATCCTGGGTCATAAAGATAGTAGGTAGCTTCTTTGATGTAGCTATTGTTAGTTTTGTTAATCTTAAGGCCAGGAAGAGAGTTCACAAGGAGATGGTAAATACTCTTTCCTTGCCATCCTTCCTTCCTTTCCTGCCTGTTTATGACCTCCGGAGTTTCCTAAAAGCATTCCTCCTTGCTTCTTATTTTATTTACTCTGAACTATATATGCATGCTCAAGTAGGAAATAGTTTCTTTGTAGTTAAAAGAATTTCTTCTGATCTGCCTTTGTCCAACGTGGGGGTTTTGAAATGCTCAGAGGAAATCTGATTGGTTCTTACAAATACTGTGTAAAAAGTTCTTTTGTGAATAAAACGACCTGGGCCAAGGGGTGGAGAGATTATTATTATTGGCACCTCCTCCCAGAGTCTTGCTGGTCAAGTCTCGTGTGCATTCTATTAATCAGAGTCCAATCCTTCCTTGTTTTGGGAACGCTGCAACCAGCTATGACCCCTTTTGGACAGAGACAACTTGGCCACTATACTTCATGCTATGGCAACTTCCAGAGTGGATTATTGCAACGCACTCTACCTGGTCCAAATTACTGCAGATTACCGGTTGGGGTTCCCTTTAGAACTCCTATTACTTGTTTTAAAACAGCTGTACTGGTTGCCAGCTCACTCTGAGCCCAATTCATGGTGCTTTGAGTCTCCAATATCTGAAAGACCGCTTCCTTTCCCTACTGACCCTCTTGGGTGTTAAGATTGGTGGTGGGGCACTCTTAGTAGTTCCACCACCTTCAGGTGGTTTTTTTTTGGGGGGGAGGTTACCTGGGAGAAGGCATTCTCTTAAGGCAGCTGCCCCACACAGGTGTGTGTGTGTGTCTGGCATCTTCTTTATATAGCTTCTGTTCCATGCTAAAGGCAGCCATCTTTTCCCTGGACTTCAACACTTGATATATTTAGTTTTAATACCCACCCTGTTCTTGTGACTGTAATTTCTTTTCAATTGTTCTATTTTATTTTTAAATTGAAGTAACCCATCCTGCAACCATATGGTGAAGGGTGGGAAAGAAACTATCATTGTACACAGTGGGGCATCTATTCAAACCTGCAGCTCCCCTAATGGCAACCAGAAGTGGTACAGTCCAGGGAAAGTTATAGCACCTGATTCTGAAAAATGCATCGAGACGCCCCCAAATAGATTCAAATAAATCCTGTCAACGGCTGTCCAATCACCAATTGTTCCGTCCACACTAATTCAGAAGGCAGATCCAGTCACACTTAGCCATTATGCTGACCCACAAGGCTTCGTGTAATTCTACAAGCCCTGAAAACATATATATTGTGTGTGGACTTGTACATTTAATATAATATAACTGCACTTCAGAGAAAGGCGCTGTGAAAAGTTGAAACTGCATATTGCTTCTCTTTTTCTGTTAATCGTCCGGAGACAAAAGGTGGATGGAGCAAAATGGAACTGTGCACTGACCTGTCACCTTGAACAATCTGGTCTCAAATTATAGCTTAGGACACAATGAAAATGAGGTTGGCAGTTTCATTCCATTCCCTATTTGCAGATTTCACAGGATCACGATAAGGTTTAATGGGAACGAGGTTCTCCTCTCAAGAGCAAACCAGGCTTGGAAATGGAAGAATAGGGTAGGAAATTGACAATGGAGTCCTGGAGACGAGTATAACAAAAGTGCTACCTCGTTCCTCTGTACCAAGCCTCGGCACTTCGGGGCATTTCAATTAACATTTTGTTCACTTACACCGGTGTGTACAATACCTAAAGGTAGAAGCAATAGGCCTTTGCTGATTGCCATAGCTTATTATGGATGGAAAAGGCCCAGGTACTATTATTCCCATAAATCAGTGGCATTCAAATTGTGATTTGAGGAAACATAACTCAATGGAAGAGCCTGTGCTATGCATAGAGAAACTCAGTTGCTGGCATTTGCATTGAACAGGATCAGGTAGCAAGGGGAGAGAAACAGGGCCTGCTCTGGGTTTGAGAGAAAGCCCTGGGCAAAATACTGGGTCCTTAGGCAATGTTCTATGGCTTACATCCACCTCAGGGCCAGTTCCATGGCTTTTGTCATACCTCATTACTTCTTGTTTCTCAGGATAGAGAAAGTGATGGTACTGGATCAGGAGTCTGGAGAGAGGGCCTTGCATCTCTTTGCCTAGGCCACACCAAGATACCACGATTCTCCCTCTCTCAATGATCCCTTACCTGTGTTGACTCTTTCCTGGCCAGCTAGGCACTAACTCCGCTCCAGGTGGAAATGGGATAGGTGAGGGGAGCCTATAGCAACATCCCTGCATATTGATGGAAGCCATTTCCTTTCCCCGGATTGGACATCCATCTCAAGATGCTGCAAATTCCCTAACAGTAATTACAACATAGAAACCAGTTTGCTAAATAAAATAAAAACAATATATATGTGCAAATAGACACAAACAAGACTATAGCCACAAATACTGTGCCAATACTTTTGCAAAAGACCTTTTGTAAAAAAGGGGGAGGGGCTTGTTGTTTTTAATATAAAAGGGTAGGGATATAAACATTTGTGTTGCTGAACAAGATACTGAACATGCCGCCCAATTCACAGGATGATAGCAGAAAGCCATGCAGCAGACTTTAGGCCAGAAGCACACGAAACACTACACAGCATGTCCCAGTGAGCGCCATGCTTACACTTACATTTGTCAGTTTCACACTAGCTTTGCTTGTTTTAAGCATTTCCATCATCTGCACAGGAGGGAAAAACAGAAGGCAAAGTTTAAAAAGGCTGCATACACACAGAAGCTAAGCAATTCTCGTTATTGTCAATCTAATCTAATCTAAATATAGATGCACATCAAGTCAATTCCCAGCATTCGATCACACTTTAGCTTCACACCAAGGGCTGAAACAGATTGTCATTGTTGTTAAAATCTGCATACTGCCCTTCATCCGTAGGTCTCAGGGCGGATCACAACATAAAATTGCAATATATAAAAAAAATGCAAAATACGTAATAAAAATAAGAACATGACTAAACCAATAACAGCACATTGAAAAGGGCATTGGATGTCAATGAGCCAAAGGAACATTTTCACCTGGGGCCTAAAGATGTATAATGAATGTGCCAGGCAAACCTTCCCGGGGAGAGCATTCCATAAATGGGGATCCACTGAGGAAAAAGCCTTTTCTCATGTTACCACCCTCCAGACCTCTTGTGGAGGAGGCTCATGGAGAAGGGCCTCAGAGGTTGATCTCAGGGTCCCAGTAGGTTCCTAAGGTGGTCCTTGAGGTATTGCGGTCTTGAGATGTGATGCCGGCCATGACTCAGCCTGCCATGTGACCTGTCACATTTAAATGTACTCACCACACTCACCTGCAAATCAGCCAGCATATGTGGTGAGTACCTTTAAATTTGATAGGTCATCCACGGAAATCGTATGTTAGGAGCCCTTTACCTGTGGCTTGCAACATAGATGTTTTGGCTGTGAGAAACAAAGACCAGAATGGAGATACATGGATGGAGGCTATGGAGTTAGTTCTCGACTCCTTTACCATGAACTGTCATTAAATGTGAGTGGGCAAAGTAATCAGATGGCAATCTGGGATTTAAATTGTGACGGTGCTGAAATGGACCCAGAATGCTGAGTCAATATGGACAGCTTGTAACCCCACCTTGGTGGCATCTAATGCATCCCTGTACTTTTTTTTTACATACAAATTGCAATTTTCCCTTAGCGGGGTGGGTGTTAGGATTCATTCCCCATGCTGCAGTCATGGGATTGTGTATATGGTGTATGTTTTCATTCCACATTGTGGGAAGTGACGGAGACAGGATGTTTCAATTACTGTGTTTCTGTGATGTAGGACATTTGTCCTTTGTTTTTGTTTTTTGCTGTCTGATGCTGAAGAGGAAGGAGTGAGTTACAATGCTCTGAGTGTCTATATGTAAATAAACGTAGCTTAGCCAAAAAGCTGCGCTACTGAGTCTGTACGCTGACTGCCTATACTCTGCTGATCCTGAAGTGTGCTGATGCCTTTGAGGTATCAGTGGGTGTGATGTTCGGGCTGGAGAAAGATTTTGAATCTCCTGAACAACCGACCAGGAGGGAGAGAACATGCCAGTTGGGCATGTGTCTCTGCAGGACTCCTACTCATGTGTAGGACCTCCTGACAGTGGGAGCTAGTAAAGCACTGTCCTTGGGGACAATGTTGTAGTGGAAAGAAAGAAAAACTGAAAGGAGGGGGGCACCAGTTCGTCATGATCAGCCTTTTCATCATGTGATGATGTAGTGCTGATCACACAAAAGGGGTGCAAACTATTCCCTAGGGATATCCCCCCACAGGACTTTAACTTTTGGAAATTAAAACATGTGGATGAAATGATGGGCAGGGTAGATGTGGGCAGGTGAGGACAAACAAGCCGAATGCTGCAATAAAAAGACAGAAAATGGTTGCATAACATTCCACATATAGCAAAATCTTGGTTTCCAAGTAGACTTTCCCTCCAGTAATTTAAATGCTAAGTCAGCAAGACTAGTTTTAAAGAAATATTTGAAGAGATATTAAAAAGGGAAAAAAAGAGCTTCTCCACAAGTCAGAGCTAATTATTTTGATCAAAGATGAAACCACATATGAGATAAGCCGATGTTCTCAAACATACACTAATTTATATACAATTCTCCACAAGGAACTGGAATAACTAACGGGATGGTTTTTGGTCTCAAAGGCTTATTTATGCCATGGGCTATCGTTGCAAAATTACTGTGACTGCTTTAAGCACCTCACACTACAAAATTGTTATTCACATATCCATGTAATGACTACTCAAGTCGAGTTCATCAGCAGCATTCACAAGCCAGCACACTTAATTATGGCCGCTGTCTCAATGAACTAAACCTTATGGCCATTTCCCACTTTTACAGTTCACACTATTTATAGCTTATAGGCAAAAAGCAATCATTTTGGCTCTCCAGAAAACAGCATGACTAAGGACCAATTCATCCAATACATCACATACGTGCTTTTAAATATATATTTGTATTCCTCCCTTCATTCAAAGACCAGCAATTTAATACCCATAGTAGAGGGCGCAGCTGATTCGTAGGAGAAATGCGGGGGGTGGGAAACCACTTCCCTCCTTTTAATCTCACATTAAGTGTCTGCTGGACTAAAGCCCCTTCCGTCAGCGGAGAGATACAAATAAAACACAGGACTCTCAAATTTATTAAGGAATACACGCCTTCCCTTCTCAGACTGGAATCCACATCATCAGCTGCAACCTCAGATTAACTGTCTCCAGGCACAGTCTACTATGGACAAATCATACAGTAACGTGTGAACAGCGATGAACATAAGGTCCAGTCAGTAACCACATGTGATTGCAACAACTGGAAAAAAATGATGTGAATTGTGTCTGTGACTGGTGACACATTGTCTGCTCACACGATCTTGTAGCCGAGGTCTGCTAGGAACACTTGCATGATTCAGCCCTTGGCCTTATTGCTTTGACTACCCACCAATGGCGTGTGGTGAAACTCTTCGTACAGGAACAGTTAGGGTCAGAGGGGCCAGGTTGCGAGGGTGATTTGGGGAGGGGACACTGTGTGTGTGAGCATCGCACCTCCTCCCCTAAGACAGGCAGAAGCTTCCTGGGGTTTGGGAATGAGGTGCCAGGGCTCTGACAGGATGTTGGAAGCCTCTGGCCTCCTTCCCAAAGCTGGGCAGGCTTTGGGAAGGTGGCAGGAGGGCTCTTGGACCCATCAGAGCATCACACTTCCCTCCTGGGCTTTGGAAAGTGACAGCATCCTGACATAGATTATCCCGAGTGAATCTCCACCCCCCCCATCTCTCCCACTTCCTCATTCGTCATCCTCATCACCTCCTCTATGGGTGCTGCTAAGTGCCCTCTGTCTTTGAGCTCTTTGCTCTCCTACTTTTAAGGCATGCCTGTCTTTTGTACGGTACCTAATACAGCAACATATAAGATGATACTCAGTAACAGATGTCTATAGAATTTTCAGCCATAGAAAATGAGTGGGCATACATGTAAACTTTATGAGACATAAAACTCCCCTTAGAAATCAGAGGCATGCTTTTTTAGACCGGAATTTCTTTCAAACTAAGAAAATACACTGTGATACTTTCTCCTATCCTGGAATAAGAAAGCTGTTGTTGTTAGTGTGATGAAGGTGCCCCTTGGAGTTCCTGTATTCCCTGTGCCACAACGATAAGCTTCCACAAGGATTTGAAATAAATAAATGTGTCTCAATCACATGCTACTAAAAGAATATCCATGTTTTATTCTTTGTTGCTGGGGAACGTTCAAAGATTTCCAGGACTTTTAAAGTGCAGCCAGTTTACAACAAGTGAGCCCCCTAAGCAAGTTATTAGCACACTTGTAGATTAAACCAATTGATACATTAATTCTCTTAAACATTCATAGCAGGTGATAAAATAGCATAAACTTTATTTTTAGTGCATAACTCAATTTCCATAATTCCTGGAATCTCTGATTGAGTATCTAGTGCTCCCCAAAGGCTTCCTTAAAATACTTATTGGCCTGGTCCCAGTGCATACATTAATCAAGCTATAAAACAGGGAGTTATCATTTTTAAAGAGACCTTGGAGAGTCATTGAAGAAAAGGCAACTGACACTTCCATAAAGACCCTGCAATAAGAGATGAAAAATCAAGGCAAGTCAATAACTAAAATGAGATTGCTTAAAGTTTATTGCTAGATTATCATTCCTATCTGTTAATATATGCTTGTGTCTCCTAGTTTTATATCAATGAATGAAGTCCAGAAATAGATTGTGCTGACAGACTTGGGTCACTGAGAAACACGGTTGATAACTTTGAAGTCAAAAAGAGTTGATAGTTTGGGGTGGAGTTGGGGGGGCATTTTGATCTTTTAACATTAGTACAGCAGAAGTTAAACATTTTATTTTTGAACTATGCCAACAATGAAAATTTCTCGATTAGCATTTTGCCCAGTTGTCACAAGGTCCTTCATGAGCAATCTGCAACTAGTTTTAATCTCCCTTCAGTCTTGAAACATTTGCCATTTTATACTCAATATTTGTCTTCTGTAATGCTTTACTTTATTATTTCAGTGCTGATAAAATTGTAGATGTTAGGGGTTAGGCTGAGTTTGAGAGGGCAAAAACAAACAAACTACATACTGTAAATGGGGAAGCCTTTATAGACAATTAAAACTTGTAAACTAAGGAAGGATGAATCTATCAGATTCAGTTACTCAGTTATCGTTTTCATTTTTCCAATCTTAATCTCAGTTTGCCCATAACCACATGAAAATTATAAGCATTTTTGAAAGTATTTCACCCAGTATACGCATTTTTGTTTGCAATTTTGCCCAATATACACACTTTTTTTGCAAGTAATTTACCCTAATATACACATAATTGTGCATACTTTCCCCTACAATATGCTTTGTTCCATACGTTTTTTGTTTGGAGAACTCTGCTGCAAAATTCAGAGAAGTGTGACTTTCTAAAAGTAGCTGCACTTCATTCATGTACTGGCTTGGGAAGCGTGAATTGTTATTGAAAGGCCCATTTAAAAAAGAGAGAGAGAACCCCCCCCCCATATTACACTATAATAGAAGGGGTAATAAAAAAAGGGAAATCACTATATTTGCTAATACACAAAGGCAAAGATGCAATGAAAACAACTAAATAATACATACTTCTTGCAGAAACCTTTATTTTCACTGTCAAATACCCTATCATTTTTCAATGAAATGAAAATGCCCCCCCCCAATTGCTGGGGAGGGGTGAGTGTGAGAGTGTGAGAGCCTGTGTGTGCTAATACATGTAAATAATAATATTACAGAATTGTAGAAATGGATGGCACCACGAGGGTCATCTAATCTGAACCCCTGCAACCCAGGAATCTTTTACGCAACATGGGACTTGAACCCACAACCCTGGGATTAAGAGTCTCATGCTCTACGGACTGAGCTATCCATGCTGTCTGGGCATGTGCAGTGCAGAACGGGATGGTGGTGCATGGCATCGCTGCCCTTGCTGCCGCTTACTGGGAGGTAGAGGGGTGAAGGGGCAGCATGGTGCAAACGCACCAGTGGAGCTAATCTGGTGAACATGCGCATGTTGCATATATGGGTTTGTGGTGTGCGCTGCATGTGTGCCACTGGCATGTGGCCCCCACTAAGCTGTTCATGAAAGAATCTGGCCCTCCCTCTTGCTTTATGCTTTCTCTCTTTGCATATTTTGGTTCCGTTTTTAAAAGACGTTGCTTTGCCAATAAAAAGGCTCCACGCCGTATAAATTTTATCTATTTCCGAACACAACTGCTAGCACTTATTTCTTTCACAATGCCACCTTTATCACATGCAAATCATAAAGCGAGGAAGCTGGCATTTGTTTATATCAACCTTTTCACAAACGCTTCTCTATCCTAAAATGAACTTTTTTCTCTTGACTCCATGAAAAAAGAAAATTATATTTGCTTTCTTCGGTTTGAGGACCAACCAAATGAAAAGGCATCAGATTCCTTGATGAGTTGGTGGAGAAAAACTTAAGGCATGGGGGGCGGGGTTTTGGCTTTCAGGATTCCTTCACATTAACATTATTCATGTTCCTTCTCCGGGTCCCCCGTTATGGGTCTGCCATGACTCACCTTCCTTCAAGTCTCTCATTTACCTCCATCTACTTGCCGCCATGTTTTCTACAGATAGAGGCTTGGCTCAGACATAAAGCTGCCCCTCCCAGGACACTGTGGTTGGCTAGAATTTCAATAAACCTGAGCTTGGGCACTAGCTTGAGAGGATATGCCATGGTTTGTTAATGTCTAAACTGCCCTCAGGGCCAGCCCACCCTTGAGGCAAAGTGAGGCGAGTGCCTCAGGTGGCAGTTTCTGCATACCCCTCAACTGTCCTGCAACATCTAGGGATTCCAGAAGCCACCCAGGAGGTCCCATTTTAGCTCCCATGAGATCACATCTCCAAAAGGCACTGTTTTGGGGAGTTCTGCTCTTGCGCCCCCGAAAGGCGCATGTCCCAATTTTCCTCTGAGGCATGTTGGAGGGTACGGTTCTCCAGGGGCAGCAGATCTAGATCTAGGTCTTTCTTTCCCCCTTGTTCCCAGTGTAGATCTATGCTTGCCCCTTCTTCTCTAGCAGGGAAGGGATGCCATTTTGTGTTTTGCCTCAGGTGCCAAGATGTCTTGGGCCGGCCCAGTGAGGTACTGTGGACTGCTCTGTTCTGAGGTTTCAGACGGGCAGTTAAGAAGCCTCTGGACTGACTAGGCCTGGTTCTGACAACAGGTCTGTATAATTTACAAACCTTATTATGTGGGGGGCCACAGTAGACTTACCATGGCAGGGATTATACTCATCACTTCTCAATCATAGATATTGTTCTCTTAGGTTTAGGCATAACCTGAATGGGTATTTATAGTTTTAAGCCCCACCATGCCTAAAACAGAATATGTGACAAGGGCTATATGTATGTACTGTACATGCATGGACATTTGTGGTGCCCTTCAGCCGTTTTTGACACTTTGGGCTGATGGGAGTTGTAGATCAAAACAGCTTTCCAGCTGGTGTAGCATTTGCCCACCCGACTTTTCAGGGGGGACAATGAGAAAATCAAATATGCATTCAACCTTTGTTGTATATCTTACATTTTAGGTGTAAAGGTAAAGGGACCCCTGACCATTTGGTCCAGTCGTGGCTGACTCTGGGGTTGCGGCGCTCATCTCGCTTTATTGGCCGAGGGAGCCGGCGTACATCTTCCGGGTCATGTGGCCAGCATGACTAAGCCGCTTCTGGCAAACCAGAGCAGCGCATGGAAACGCTGTTTACCTTCCCGCTGGAGCGGTACCTATTTATCTACTTGCACTTTGACGTGCTTTCGAACTGCTAGGTGGGCAGAAGCAGGGACTGGGCGCAAATAAGGCCTTGGCCCACTATACCTGATGGAGTGTCTCCATCCCCACCGCTCCGCCCGGAAACTGAGGTCCTCCTCGGAGGGTCTTCTGCTGGTTCCCTCACTGCAAGAAACCAAGTTACAGGGAACCAGGCAAAGGGCCTTCTCGGTAGTGGCGCCCTCCCTGTGGAACACCCTCCCTTCAGATGTCAAGGAAATAAGGAACTACACAAGTTTTAGAAGACATCTAAAGGCAGCCCTGTATTGGGAAGTTTTTAATGTTTTACTATGTTTTTATATATGCTGTAAGCTGCCCGGAGTGGCTGGGGAAACCCAGCCAGAGGGGTGGGGTATTAATAATAATAATAATAATAATAATAATAATAATAATTACTAAGAGTCTACCAGCTGTACTTCTTGCAGATATGCAAAATGTTCAGATATGAATAATTATCCTGTATACTTTGAGATTGGGCTATTATACCAAAAGAAAGTATGGCAAACAACCACTAACATTTAATGATAATATTAAATGATGCTTCTGAATAGTAGATGCCCTTTCAAATAAATATATTTTAAAGTACTTAAATGGTACTTTATTCAAATATACAATATTTTACTACAAACACAAAACAGCAAATAGGAAGCTACTCAACCTTCTACTCGTTCCGTTTATTTGAGTCTACACAAGTGTAAGCAGTGAATGATAATTCATTTTCATTTTTGATGTGCTAACTTCAATTTATAATGCTTATCTAATTCATCTAATTACAAGAAGCAGAGCATCCATCACTATCTCTTAAGATACAGCCTGGTTCAGTTGTGCTGTGACTGATACGTAATAAAACTATTAAAAACCAATTTGTTTCTTAATTAAAAAACTATTTGTTTGATTAAAAAGCACAAATTGTTTCTTAATTTTCTCCACTTACTGTTCCTAATTGATTTGGATGTATTTAAGACATGCTCTTAATCTTTCTTTTGATTTTTAAGAAGGTTGGTTGCCTCTGTCCATTTCATACCCTGACACAAAAAACCTTTGGTTTTGGGGTCGTTGTTTTGCAAATCTTTGCATAGACTCCTCTATTCAATACCTTTAAGTAGAAACCAGAACCCTGCAAATGGGTCTGATGAAATGGAAAAGAGTGAATTTATTTATTTTATTGAGCAAAAAAATTATTTACTGCATGCGCTGTGGGTTATTATTTTTTTTATAAGATATTTATTAAAATTTTCAAAGTGTTACAAAGTAAAATAAAAGCAGAAGAAAATACAAAATAAAAATAGTTAACAAAGTAGGAAAAGAAAAAAACAAACCCCTTCCAACCATACGAATACAAATTCAAAAATAAGAAAAAGAGACAGAAAAAAAAATGCAAAAATACACCACAGACAATTAAGAACATTTAAAAACAAATTCATTATTCTCGAATCCTCAACTGTCATTACCTTCTTTCTTTGACCTCCTCCTCCTCCCTTTCTTTGTATCCTAGTTATTAATTATCCCAGCAAATCCTTTCCATATTTCGTAATATTCTGTCATTACATTACTCTAAACTGTTTTAGTCTTATCTTTCTATAAGAAAATAAACCTTAAAGCTTAAAACTTAAATCTTATCCTTACCAACTTCTCATAACCATAATATTCTTTCATAATTCTTTGAACATCTTTACTAAAGCCGATTAATTTCATTCCAACCTTTTTCTAACATTCATCAATTTTATAAAACAGTTCTAATGGTAGAAAAAAGAAATACAAACAGATCCAATCTTCATCCAACGTCCCTTCCTCCTGGTTCCGGGTTTCGTCAGTCCTTATTATCCCATCGATCTAGCCCATTAACCTGACAACCTTATATCCGAGGCCCTCAAGTCTCTTCCATGTCCCTTCTGCAGCTCTTCTTCATATTTGTAACAGTATTTTCCCTTGTCTCCTGCTCGTGGTAACTCCAGCTTGGCAATATTTTTAACCCTTCTCAACAGATCAGCCCCTTTTCCATATTCAGCACTGAATTCCATGTGGTATTTAAAAGCATGTTTCAAAGACCCTCCAAAATTAAGAGCCCCCACAATCCCAAACATCTCACGGCCCATTGCCAGATTTGAAAAGTCCAAACATCCCAGCATAGGGGGGTCAATCCAGCCCCCCATTTCCAAGCCAAACCAAACTTTTTCTTTCCAAATCTGGCTTTTTCCAAGTTCATTTGTCAAGTCCGAAAACTCATATTCCTGTTGGGCCTGTTCTGTCAGGACACACTCCTGATTTAATTCCTGGGTGGGCTCCACATATTTTCCCACTGTCTGTTCAAAATTTCCCACTGCCTGTTCAAAATTTCTAGTCGAAGTCGCCATCAAATTCACCTTCTCATGTAACTGTTCCAGTAGGGCATTTGTTTTATAGAAAGCACACAACAAAGCTTCTGAATACATTGTCCTGCAAGGTCAAATGCCTATTCCCACGATTGTAATCTGTAACAGCTGCCGGCTCCCTGGAGTTGGTTACAGTTTCACAGTCTCCCTCTAGGGGGAAAGCTTCTATTTGTTCTTGCAACAAAGTTTCCCTTTTTGAGATACTTTGTCAATATTTATTCCTTTAAAATGCGACGGGGAACAGTGGAATCACTATGTTTCTCATTCTTTTAGCTATCTGTCAGAAACGTTTGTCTCTGGTCAATGAACTTCAAACGTCAGTCCTGACACCCTGCTCCAGGATCAGGACGGAGGAAAGTTGCCTTACTCTAAACTCACTTTAAACAGTCCGAAAAAGATCCCCCTTCTTCTCCTGCTGTCGAAGGGGGGTTCCACAATTTTAAATGATGAAATCCAATCCTTTAAAGACGATCTTCTGAGCTCTAGTTTACGTTGTCTTTGCTTTATTCTGTCTACAAAAGAACGGAAGGCTGACTTCCTGTTTAGACCTTCCCGTTCCGTACCAAATTGAAATAGATTTTTAAGATCCAATTCCTTTCTGCTCACAAGTCCCCATTTAATGTCCAGTTGTTCAAAGTCTAAGTACTCACGGGTGCTTATTTTAGAGTCCAAATTGTCCCAGGAAAAAGGCAGCGCTCTCCGGCAACGGCTATGCGGCTTCGCTCCACGGAAATAGCAGTTGACTCACAGCACCTCGCCACTTCCCCCTCTTCACTTCGGAGCCCGTTAGTGGGTTCCTTAGCGAGTTGGGGGGGCGCTAAAGGTGCCCGCCGAGTCCCATGGTCACAGGCTTCATCCTCCTGTGATTTTTAAAAGGGTCCCCGCTTCGCCGTAGCGGAGAAGACCCGTTTCCCACGGAGCTAGCCCCTCCAGTTCAGAGGAAGTCCGCCATTGCCGATGGCGCCACCCCGGAAGTCCATGCATGCGCTGTGGGTTAAACCACTGAGCCTAGGGCTTGCCAATCAGAAGGTCGGCGGTTCGAATCCCTGCAACGGGGTGAGCTCCCGTTGCTCGGTCCCTGCTCCTGCCAACCTAGCAGTTTGAAAGCACGTCAAAGTGCAAGTAGATAAATAGGTACCGCTCCAGTGGGAAGGTAAACAGCATTTCCGTGCGCTGCTCTGGTTCGCCAGAAGCGGCTTAGTCATGCTGGCCACATGACCCGGAAGCTGTACGGTGGCTCCCTTGGCCAATAAAGCGAGATGAGCACCGCAACCCCAGAGTCGGCCACGACTGGACCTAATGGTCAGGGCTCCCTTTACCTTTACCTTTAGTAATAAAATCTCGGTGGTTTTAATTGAAAGATGCATTCTGTTACCAGGTGAACTTCAGCTCACACCTGTGGGAAAGAACAACTAAAGCAGATTTGGTGGAACAATTGGTGTGACATTGGTTGTGTCTTGGTGCTGTGCTTTTCTGCAAAGCAGTTCAACAATCAAGTGGGAGGGTCCAGGAGATCAACAAGAACAACAACAACAACCACCCTATACTTTTGTACAGCTCTAATCAGCCTCATAACGGCGTTTCCGTGCACTGCACTGGTTTTGCCAGAAGCGGCTTAGTCATGCTGGCCACATGACCCAGAAGCTGTACGCCAGCTCCCTCAGCCTGTGAAGCGAGATGAGCGCCACAACCCCAGAGTCATTTGCGACTGGACTTAATTGTCAGGGGTCCCTTTACCTTTAATCAGCCTCACAATGTCCCTAAAATGTTGCCATCTCCAAGGTGGGGATATTATTTGAGGCTCGGGGAGAGGAAAAGGTGAACAGCAAGGTTCTTCTTAGCTAAGTCTATTTTAAGAATGTGTGTAACTTCCATATGACTTGCAATAACTGGAGATATAGCTATTATTCAAGAAAAACAATGTCTGGTCTGAAACACATTGGTAAGGAGGAGAATTGTTCCCTTGTCATCCCATAATGGCATCCCAGTCAAAGTCTTCTACAAGAACTGCAGACCATGTTTACTCTGATATTATGTCTAATTCTACTGGACTGACTATGAGGTAAGTGTGCACTGCATGGTCTGCTCCTTTGTGTATTTACTTAAAAGTAATTCAGTGGGTTTTGGTAGTATGTGCACATAGAAATACAAGTTTTGAAATTACGATCTATTCCCTCTTCTCAGGGTTTCACCTGCAAAAGAAATGTACAAACATATCAGATTCTATGTAAACTCTCAGATAATTTCTGAGATGGCTGTCTCCTGGTATCCCTTGATCAACTCCAGGGTTTCAAGGTTAAGATTTCCTAAGGTTGCAAGTTTAACACCATGGAATATTTAGGTAGGCTTTTTTTTGTTTTGTTATCCAAATGAGTTGTTATAGAAATCAATTTATACAGAGCAGGCTCTTCATAGCTAAGCAGGCCACCTCTGCAAATCCCAGGGTTGATTTACTGTTTCCATTCCACGCACTCTTTTTAGTGGAGCATAAAATTGAAAGGCTTATGTCAAACTCATTGGCACGTGGACACATTCAAGACAAAATTAATTTTAAGGGCACTTACAGGGTACAAAAATCTAAGCGATGCTTTACAAATCTACGGCACAATTTACAGCACTTTAGGAAAAAAGGCTTGCGCAGAAGAGAAGATTGGATGCTTTCTAATCTATCAGAATCTCGTTAGCTATAGTTCACTTTGAAGAAGGCAGGAAATGGCAGGAATCGTTTCTGGGTGACAGAGAGAGATTCCTGGGGTTCCTTCCCTTCTCTATACTGCAACACAAATGTCGATGACAAAAGCGCTTGCTGTTCTGCAGAACTTTGCGAAAGGGGAGGGGCAGAATTGGTTGTGACCAGCAAATAACAGCAGCTAGGAAAGCAAGTCAAGTTTTGTGTGGAGTCCTGCCAATAAAATATGCATATCAACATTTTAAATGCGGACAGTTGCTTACCTCTGCCTCTGCTGATGACACCACAATAACACAGAGACAGAAGCAACACAACCCAAGCAGCTGCCTCTTCTCTCCTTTCTTCTCCCCAGAAATAACTCACTCCTTAACTGTCCATTCAGCAATGGAATCAAAGGTTTGTTTGTTTTATAATCTGGGGGAACATGTCCTTCAACTGCTAGGGAAAGCTACCTAATTTAGCTCCTATTGACTTTCTTTTTTTTAATCTTAGCACACCTCCTAAAATTAATCTGCAGCTCTGTAAATATTAAAAAAACTGCCTAGTTAATACTTAAGTTAAGGTTGTATAACATCCACAAATCCTCACTGCTTGTTGCAGAAACCGGGCTACTATTGCATTTGTACTACCTTACATTTGCCTGAATGCCACTCCCTACTAGCAACCAACTGATTAATAAACTTGGATTGACTTGTCTGATACCAGGGGCAGTGCAAAAGAACATGTGCTACTGATTCTATTTGTCTCTGTCCACAGGGGTGCAGTCTCTCTACGAGTGGCGTTTTCTGGAATCTCCCTTGCAGTATTGCCAAAAGTAGCTCAAAAGTGGTGTCATCAGCAGAGTCTTGCTCGCGTGTACACCCTTGCATTGATTCGGGTTGGTCAAATGTGAGAGGTTAGTCGCCATTGGCTGTGCATTGGCAAAAGATGAAAGCTTCAGTAAGAGCCTAAGATTGAACACTGAACAGTATGTGCAACAAAGGTGCTAGAGAAATCATTGAAAAGCTTCAACCACTGTAATTTCAAGATGGCTAGTGACCAGATAGCCTGTGATGAGCATTGGCAGGTCTTCACTTAGAGACAGTGTCTCTGTAAAACTTCTACTGCTGTGCACAGTGCAAGGAAATCCTCCTTTCTGGCTGCATGCCTTTGAATGCTTGCACATTTCATATCTCCCAATAATGAAAGGAAATAAAATCAAACTAATAATTCCAGGGACCTATTTGGCTATTCTGACTTCCACAAATGTGTACATAAGATTCAACACAGATTCTATTAATGGTTGGAAATAAAGATGAAAGAATGTTGATACATTTACAGTTTAATTGAAAGGGCACTAGTGCAACTGGGATTTTAGAGTTCACAGAAACTGTACAGTACACTTCAGTGCTACATGAGTTCTTGACTTTGAGAGAAAATATATTCTCTTTCAAGATTTACTTTCAAGCTCCCCAATTATAATGGGTGCCCTAGAAAAATTTGCAGCATATTGTCAGCATCTATCATCTACAAAAGATAGCAATAAGTAATATATCTAGAGAACTGCCCAAGATAATCAAGAATCTGCACAGTAGGAAGCCACTATAAGACCCAAGCGTAGGTAGATTCCGGTAATGTAAATTCTTAGATTAATTAGCTGGCTGTGAATAGGAATACTGAATAAAAATCTTACATTAGGGAGACTAGAAGGGGGTCGTTTCAAAATGGCTGCCTGGAGGCAGAGATGTGTAGGAACAAACAAGAGTACTCCTTAAACTAGCTAATTACTGGAAGGAGGCAGATATGGTATAGTTCGTCAACAATGAATTTCTGCAATGTGCCTTATGTGTATTCCATGGGAAGGATCAAAGGGGAAGCAGGAGCCACAAGGGAAGGCTGAGAGTGGACAGAATCCAGAATTATTGTTTGGGATCTCTGTCAAATACTTGGTGATGGAGAGGAGGGTTTGAAGGGGGAAGGGCCAAAGGTCACTGGTAGAGAATCTGCTCTGCATTCAGAAGAGCCTCGGTTCAATCCCTGACATTACCAGGTAGGGCTGGGAAACCCAGGAGAGCCACTGCCAGTCATTGGAGACCATGCTGAACTATATGGACCAATGGTCTGACTCTGTATAAGGCAGCTTTCTATGTTTTCCTAAAGCAAAGACGGTATCTAGAATGTCAGTGGGATTTGCCTTTCCCAAACATGGCTGATGAGTGCAAAGGCATGTGGGAAGCAAGAGGAGTTCAGTGTGCATCTTTGGGTGATGGTTTCAACCACAATGGGTGTTAAGGTATTGACCAGTGGGCTGGACAGTGGCCCATTCATGGTGCCTATCCAGAGGTCTTCACTGCCAAACTTTCCAGGGAATAAACCAGACTCTTTGGGCAAAAATTCATAGGATGGTAGATATGTGCAAAACTCATGTTGCCATAGTCCATACACTCTTAACCAAGAAATATGAAAAGTTTGTCACGGCTAAAAATTGGCCACTGTTTCTTTAATGCTTAAAAAGCCGGGTCAGCATGAGTCAGCGGCCTGCACCGGGTTGTATATATAGAGTGAGAAATGTTAGTTTGGGTTGGTTGGTTGGTTGGTTAGTGAAAGCTGGTAGTGTTGATGTGTACAGTTGGTCAGTCGCTTTTGCAGAAAGACTTTTAAGAATAAAAGCAGAAAGTACTCTGCAAGGATATTCTTCTCGTGGACTCTTTTATGCCGACAAGGGTCCAAGGACCAGGCTGAGGCGACAAAGGGAGGTCAGAACCCTTTTTTTTTTAAACAAACACTGACAAAGTTTTGTCCCTGGTACTGAATAAGCAATTTATGATACACTTCTCTGTTTATATCCACAGAATCACTGAGTTGGAGAAGGGCCTTGTGAGCTATTGATCTAATCTAATCACCTGCTTGATGCAGGAAATCCAGGGCTTGGGCACCTCCAACAGATAGGCTTTGCTGTTGCTGCTGCTGCTGCTGCTGCTGCTGTGATAATGTCTTAATAAAAAGTTTCAAAGAAAATGCTGTGCCTGACAGTCTGGTGTGACCTGGCAGAAAACGTTCAACTGAATCTGACAAGCAGGAAATCAGTCTTCTATGGTGAGATCTTGCAAGGAAAGAGTGGCTTGGAGTCTTTCTGTTTCTGTGCATTCCTGGTTAGCACAGACTGGCATGTCTCTTCTGATTTTTCATGGCCGTCAGGGGCTGTCCCTTAGAGACGTAGTCCTTGCCCTGTCTACCCAGACCCCACAGCTACCTCTGAAAAGAAACATAGCACCAAAACAGAAATCATCATTATTTCCTAGCCCTGGGAAGAGGTAAGGAGGGCAGGAATAATGAATCCTAGCTGATACCCCAGGTCACTTTGCAAACTAAATTGATTTGTCCAAAGTAGAACAAAAAAGCACCCTGTTTTCACCTCCATCCAAAGAGCACGGCAGAACATATAAGAAAACAAAAAGCAATCCAAATGAATTTGAGGCATGTTTCATGCAGGGCCCTCTGCACTTATGGATCAGCCTCCATTTTACACCTGCTGTGAATAACCATGGGGTGCTCTCTGCTTATTCTAAGTGGGAAGCACGAAGCAGATCAGAAGATAGTTCTCAAAAAAGAAGATGTGCATGTGCAAGGCCAATCACTACTTACCATTTGAAGAAAGCAGTTCCCGTTTCCATCACTCACTCAAGAAAAAAAGGCAGGTATTTGTTGGATTAATTCTCTTAAATCACAAGTGCAGGTATGGGTAGAGACAATGAGACTGCAAACACATCTGCCAAAACTGAAGGTGATGTGACAGAGCGGGTAACTGGGAAGCTTATTTCAGCCTGAGGTGGAGGAACCAACTGAGAGTTTAACTTTGCCCAGAAAGCTAGTTTCTATCCTCCTGCACCCATCTCTGTTCTCTTATCCAGGTAACCAAACAAACCCCCGTGTTGCAAAGAGAACGTCAGCAATGTCTAGGCAACACGATGACCATGTACATACACAATAGACAATCTTTTATAGAATTCCTTCAAACCATAACAAGTCCAAAATAAAATCTTTAGTATCAAAGTCTCTGAAAATCTTTAAATGAAGCGAGGTACCAGACTTTGTACGATGAAAGACAAGCTGTGAAACTTTGTGTATTCAGCAAATATGATGTCTAACACTGAAAAGTGATTCCTGCTATTGACCACTGTTTCGAAGAATTCTTCGTCAGCATAGTGGGAGGATATAGAATTGCTTCATAAACCCATCTTATTTCGAATGAATGTATGTAAATTAAAATATTATTATATGAGCACTGTTCCATAGCATTTGATATTTTCATGGTTTGAAGGAATTCTATAAAAGATTGTCTATTGCGTATGTACATGGTCATCGTGTTGCCTCTTATCCAGGTAAGCAAGATACATTATCAGAACTCAAGGCCAGGGAGGGGGGTGGTCTGGGAAGGGTTATGAGAGCCAGACAGAGAGGCATTTAGCTCCCAGGCCTGAGGTCCTCCCCCTCCCTTGGTGATAAATGAATACAGACATCATTGTCTGTGAGGCGCATGGCCATCCCACTACCATTTTTGTCCAGTTATTTGAAGTACTTAAAAATCCCGCATCAAGAGGGAGCCAGGCAAAGCTAATGATATTCCTGCTAATTTGTGTCTTTCTCATAGAATGAGCAGCCCATTTAACTGTCCAAAAGTGTTTTTGCAGGCACAGCAGTAATAAGCACTGCATCTTCCTCCCTAGGATCTGTTTTCAATGCTCAGCAACCCTAAGTCTGCCACAGCTATAAATCTCTGCGGACATTAGTATAGTGATGACAGGTAAACATACATACCTGTGGCACTGTCTATAAATTGTATATTTTGGAAAGGCAAAATTCTTAACGGTGTTTTCTCAGTTATGACAGAGTTCCGTTGTTGCCACCAAAGTATCCGTTGGGGAGATGGTTGGGTTTCTGTTCCTCTCACTGTGCAGATATTGTGTAGGATTGGTTCATCACATGTCTATGTTATGTATTCCAGCACCGACTGTTGGAATCACGGGAGCGGATGTTTACTGTACTCTGTTTCCGTTTGTTTTTGCTTTCACTCCTGACTCCTCTCCGAGGAAGACAAGAGAGAGAAGACATGTCTTCCTTTGTTCTGACTTATGCTTAATGAAGTAGCTTAGCGCTTACAACCCCAGCCTAGCTCCGACTGCGTTTTATCTCTGCTGGACTCTGGATGTGTGCTCAGTGTCTCCAAGGCATGAGTCACTGCAAATCGTCAGGGAAGGTGGTTCAGAACTCCCTAGAGTTGCGTGCTGCACCCTGATGGGATAGACAGGCTGGAAACGTTCCTGTCGTATGCTTGGGGATCGTCCTAGCCCCCGGCCGACCCGACAGAGATGCGGTCAGGGAGGGAGCTGATGACATACTCAGTGATGCCCTGCCCTTTTGGACAGGTTACCTGATTCCTCTCTCACAGGCCCATCAATTCTTCACTTCCTCTTTGTAGCCACAGCATATGCTCAGTTATATTTTATTTTCACTGAAGCACAACTGCTCCAATAAAAATGAAATTAAAATGCATGAACAAGCAACTGCTGAAAAGGAAAATTAAGGAATTTCAGGGCCCACAGCTAGCAGAGAACAGGAAATATCTCATCAAAGGACCGCTTCATTAATGCCCATGACTGGAAGGGAACAGGAGATGACAAAAGGCCAGTTTTGGTATAATGATGGCAAAGAGAAAGTGCTACTTCATTAAATGGAGAGACTTCCGTTAAATGGAGAGACCTTTGCTGCACACCTAATCACTCTGAACTGAATGAGATTTATTTATGGGTAAATATACTTATTATCGTCGCATGGAGATAGCTATTTGTCAGGGAACTGCCATCGGAGCTAGAGGCGGAGAGAAGGCTCCAGAGGGATGCCGGAGAGGGTCCCAGTAGGGAGAGAGGCAGCCCATCTGCTGGGGAAGGAAATCAGCGTAACACCAGTGGAGAAGGGGGGCAGATGGGGGAATCGGAGAGGAGGCTCCAAGACTCCTCGCCGGAGACCAGCGGAGAGAGTACGGGTACTCCGCTGCCCACACCCTCCCTGCGCAGAAGACTTCCGCGCAGGGAGAGTAGGAGGAGACTTGGCGTCAAAGAACTTCTTTGCTGGAAGAAGTTCAAGAAACACCCACTGACGGATTCTGCCAGCGACTGAGACAGCCACAAAGCTAGAGGCTGTCCAGACAGAAAGGGTTCAACCAGGTAACCAAGGCAGGAGTGGCGGCAACTTACGCACGAGCAACCCCTAGAACCATTACACCATTGATGGACTTTTTGTAGAGAATTCTGTATTTCATATATATCCTGCCTTTCATTCAAGGAGCTCAAAACAGGGTGCATGTTCCTCCCCACAATTTTTCTTCTTCACAAGAACCCTGTGGGGCAGGTTAGCCTGAGAGTAGGTCACTGGTGAGCTTCATGGCTAGCAGGGTTTCCCTAGTCCTAGCCTGACACTCTAACCAGTGGAACCACATGTTTAATGTCATTTCCCTAAAACTGCAGATGAAGTGGTAACACTAGAAGAAGAAGAAGAGTTTGGATTTGATATCCCGCTTTATCACTACCCTACGGAGTCTCAGGAGGGACACGGGTGGCGCTGTGGGTTAAACCACGGAGCCTAGGACTTGCCGATCAGAAGGTCGGCGGTTCGAATCCCCGCGACGGGGTGAGCTCCCGTTGCTCGGTCCCTGCTCCTGCCAACCTAGCAGTTCGAAAGCGCTTCAAGTGCAAGTAGATAAATAGGTACCGCTCTGGCGGGAAGGTAAACGGCGTTTCCGTGCACTGCTCTGGTTCGCCAGAAGTGGCTTAGTCATGCTGGCCACATGACCCGGAAGCTGTACGCCGGCTCCCTCGGCCAATAAAGCGAGATGAGCGCCGCAACCCCAGAGTCAGCCACGACTGGACCTAATGGTCAGGGGTACTTTTACCCTAAGGAGTCTCAAAGCAACTAACAATCTCCTTTCCCTTCCTCCTTCACAACAAACACTCTGTGAGGTGAGTGAGGCTGAGAGACTTCAGAGAAGTGTGACTAGACCAAGGTCACCCAGCAGCTGCAGGTGGAGGAGCGGGGAAGGGAACCCTGTTCCCCAGATTACGAGTCCACTGCTCTTAACCACTACACCACACTGGAAGTGGAGATAAGACCCCTCTCAGGGAAAAGAAAATGTAAGAAAAAGCCATCTTACTTGGAAGGATACAGCACAGAGTATTTTCTGCTATTTGGTTAATATCCATCCTTTAAATATGTACTGCACAGCTGCACGTCTTGCTCATTTTAAACATGCTACCTGCAAATCTCCTTTCTGTGATTAATCCATTATACTCTTGGTGACACGATTTACACTTTAAAATTTTGATTTAATTTCAATTACAGCAACCTGTGGAAACATGTTCCAACGGAGGCTATGCAGAAAGTTAATTGGATGATCAATTTAGAATGCCTGTGCCGTTACGAAATTTTCCAAAGTCACAGGTGTCATACAGAAGGGGATGGGGGGCAGTAGAAGAAGCTTCTTTAAATGAGGAATCCACAGGGAGGCGTCTTGTAGGGTAACTACTATGCAATGCACTGACACAGACAAGCGGCTTATGAAGGACATTAATCAAGGGGAAAGTGAACAGGAAATGAGATGCTTCAGGCCACAAAGGCTTTCCAAATGGCATCCTTAGCAATAAAGGAAGACAGAAGTCTGGAGGAGGGAAATAAAGCAGGGTTTTCACGAGGAAATAAATGGAATTGCCCCAGAACATCCCATCTGTCAATGAGGTGGCTTTCTGTTGCTCAGAGGTGGTCAGTGAACCACGGGGGGTGGGGGAAATGGGGTTTCTTAAAGTATGTTTGTTAAAGCATACTTCCAAACTGGCCTGTGGCAAAAATAGCGCTTGGTTAAATGCAACAAAGAACCGAAGCCATCTCAGCAGTGTTGAAGGGTGCTTGTGTGAAAAGAGTCTCAGACGAAAGCTATGATAGATCATCCCATGCCCTCAGGGCCAGGACTAGAAGCAACTAAACTAGCGGAAACACTTCTTCAAAAGGAACCTGTACAACCAGTATTTCTCTGGCCTAAGGACGCCATGTGCCCCAGTGCAAATGGAAGAAGAGAAGAAGAGTTTGGATTTGATACCCCGCCTTTCACTCCCCTTAAGGAGTCTCAAAGCGGCTAACATTCACCTTTCCCTTCCTCCCCCACAACAAACACTCTGTGAGGTGAGTGGGGCTGAGAGACTTCAGAGAAGTGTGACTGGCCCAAGGTCACCCAGCAGCTGCATGTGGAGGAGCGGAGACGCGAACCCGGTTCCCCAGATTACGAGACTACCGCTCTTAACCACTACACCACACTGGCTACTTCTCCTGCTCTACAGAAGTAAATGTCTAGTGAAGGCCATGTCCTTTTGAACAAAGAGGAACCTCTCAGTGAAGGCAAAGCACTTTGAACGCTGCAGCTTTTATGTCAGGCTCAGCCTGAGCGTGGCTGTAGCTGAGGCAACCTCTGAGCGCTGCCCTCATTCAGCCTGAGCTCTGCAAGGAACTGTCCAGGATTTGCTCCCTTGGCCTCTGCTGAAGTCAGAGCTTGCATCTCTGGTTTATTTGGTGTGTGTTTTTTAAATCTCAGTGTAATTTCTGTTTGAGTAATGGAAGTGTATTAAAGTTCTCTAGAGGCTGACTGGCCGCATTGCTGTCTGCGCTTGCAAATCATGGTTGTTTTAAGGGAGTTTAAGGGAGATGGATGGCTGCCACTGATTCCCCAGGGGACGGTTGTTTAGTTTTTAGAGTCTCCCATTTCTTATGTTTAGCTGCCCATGACATTTTTGGTTGTATGGATTTTAACATGTTTAGGTAAAAGAAACCCAGCTGTACTTATCAAATGGCTGAAGTAAATAATTGTGTTGTTGTCTAGAAAGGCATTGTGAAATCCAGCAATGCCACCTGAATGCCAAACTTTCGGGGGGGGGCAGGCAGGTGGGGAGAATCTGCTTATATAGGGCACCCCATGCAGCCTTGCAAACAAGTCTAGAAATAATGAGACACATTTCTATAGTGCCTTATGTTATTCAAAGTGCTTTGCATACAGTGGGTTGGACCTATACAAATTTAGGTGTGCTTAGTTCCTATTGAAATCAACATCTCAGCGGCAGTTTTGGCACTAGATGAAGACAAATCATAAATATTAATAGACATTTGTCTTCTTTCTTTTTTTAAAAAACCCACCTATGATGGATGCTTGTTAACTTGATTCCCTTGTTTTCTTTTCATTAAGGGAAGCAATAGAAATAATCAAGAATTAACCTCCTGAAGAGAAAGAAGCCAGACTCAAACGGTACTTAATCCTTGAGAAAATTAAATGCTGAAAACCAGAAAGCTGCAAGGTTAAGGGGCATAGCTTTGTTGAATGCTTAGCTGCGCTTTTGATTCTGCAGAAATGTTAAGAGTGCAACCAAGTGAGACTGCGGGGGATCCGTGATCAAATCTCCCTTTTGGGGGTGGTCATATTGGAGACATTGCGATGGGAAGAGTTTTTAAACATCCTTCTTCCGTGCACTACTTTATATCAACATTTTATATCTCTACCCAGTTTGAAGCTATCATCCCTCCCCCCCACTCTAGCCTGAAGCTCCTATTTGCTTTCCCTGTGTGTGTGGAACAAATAGGCACCATATAAGTTAGCCACATAAGTACCAAAATAGGAAAAATATAATCATATCTCAGCTGGGAATATATGATGTGAAATTGCCTGTTTCTATTTTCATACCATCTCATGAAATTTCATTTGGGGGTGAGTTCTTGTCACCTTAAAATATAAATAGACTAAGGAACTATAAAGCCCAAGCAATTCCCATAAGCTGATAAAGTTTTACTTACTAACGCTGCACATATGTTATGAAGCGAGACTTAAAAGCACTGTTTTGCACCCATTTTGGACACCATGTAATGACTGATCCATTGGGGATGCACAAGGAGCTTCTAAATCATCCCGTTTAGTGACTGACCTCTGTCACTTGCAGTCTTACCAATGTTGCTGGACTCCAGCTCCCATTATCCCTAACCAGAGGGCATGCTGGGAGAGGCTGATAGGAGCAGGACTCCATCAACATCTGGAGGGATGCAGGTTATTTATCCCCATTTTACCAACGACATACATGCACACCTTTTTATCTTACTCTACAAATGAGTATCCTGCCAACCTAGCAGTTCGAAAGCACAAAGTACAAGTAGATAAATAGGTACTGCTCCAGCGGGAAGGTAAACGGCGTTTCCGTGCACTGCTCTGGTTCGCCAGAAGCGGCTTAGTCATGCTGGCCACATGACCCGGAAGCTGTCTGCGGACAAACGCCGGCTCCCTCGGCCAATAAAGTGAAATGAGCACCGCAACCCCAGAGTCGGTCACGACTGGACCTAATGGTCAGGGGTCCCTTTACCTTTACCTTTTACAAATGAGTAACAGGTGCACAGAGAGCACTGGGAAATGTGTGTCAGGGTAAAACATAGGCCTGCCATTACAAAAGATGAATTCAGGTAAGTCAATTTCCACATGATGCAGCTTTGCCAACATTGCATAGTGCGATTCCCAGAGAATGGTGGCCAGTTATCATGGCTCCCAAGTTTTTCAAGTAGGTTTGATTAAAAATTTAAGATCTGTACGATTAGCTTAGCCAACGCACCCCCTAGTTGCAGCAGCCAACCGTCAGTCAGCCTTATTCTTGATGTTCACTTATAATGAAGCTTTCCTTCTCTCCCCATTTCCCCTAACCTCTGATGGTAACGGTCCTAAATACGCTTAATTAAATACTCAATGTTTGTGACTAGATCTGGCCTACCTAGTGCCCTTGTCCAAATGATTAACATCATATTTATTCCTCCCACCTCGAAGGGAAATCATTTTGGAAACAGCAACGCTGTGAGAGAAACTCACACAAACATTTACGGCTGGGGGCACGGCTTGAGTGCTCTGCAAGCTCTGACCCACCAGCCACCCAAAGGCCACACTGCTGTGGTTATAAATCACCAATCCAGACCAAATCATCACAGGGGGTACAGCAAAGGAAGGCAAGCAGGCACAGTCTCAGATTGTGTGGGCAGAGCCCTACAGAGCGGTGGGATTTAGATAGCTGTCAGAAAGGCAGGGACATTCAGTCTTTACAACTAGGCCTGATGCTCCTGTACAGAGCCTTCTTCTAATAAAGAGGTAAGTCCACTTACTTCATGTGATTTACTGTATGCTCCCGACTGACTCTGCTGCTCCTGATCCCCTAAAGGCAGCAGCGGAGAATGGTGACATGGACTGCTCCCATTTGTAGCTACTTCCCTATCCAGTGTATGTGTGGACGTGACAGGGATGGTATGAGCCTTGCTGAAAGTTATATGGTTTGGGACGATCTGGAAAGAAGGCTCTAAATGTCTAATGCTGGGTAGATTACGCAATTTCAGAAACATCTCTTAAAGAGAACAAACTGCATAAAACATAACAACCGCCAAGCCAGCTGAGGACGGCATCTTTATCTCGAGTGAGGCTTTTATTGGTACCTTCAAGAGAAAGAAGGATTGCTCCATGAAAAGAAATGTGCTTATCTCTCGAGACACGCTTGTTGAGCTTTAAACAGTTATGCTCAGTGCTAAGAAAAAGAATGTTCAAGGCCTAAACCACTTTCTTGAAGATACACAAAGAAGCCATCATTTCAGGAGTCGGAAGCCCCACAGCTTACTTGCCCATGAAAGAACAGGGTCAGCTTTGCTCACGTGAATGAAACAGGCCTGGAATCAGCACCCGGCAGAATGGGACATTTGTCAGGGCCCACATGCCATCGGGGCCTATAACTTGCCTACCTTCCGTGCATCTGCTGCCACTTGGACCCACTGGCTTGCTTGGGGGTCGGGGAACATGATCTGTTATGGAAGGCCACTCACAGCTGGGGGGCGGCAGCTGATAGCTGCCCCATCTCCTTGCCCATTGGGTTATCTAGTGGCACCAGCAGTGCTATAACGGCCAGCATTATGACCATGCATTTTTCCTCATACAACACGGGAACAATATTTTTGCAGGGTTCTGCACAGCATTCTAGATTAGGGATGCCTGGAGAAATCAGAAACAAGTGTAAAAACTATTTGAAACGAATATTCTGAGATAAATGTAAGAAAACGAAGAAATAGCAATAAAAGGATCATTTTCATTTTGAGCACAGCAACTTGTTCTGACTCCAGTCTATACTAAACATTTGCAAACCTACCTACAAGAAAACTTTGAAGAAAGCAAGAAACTGAAGCTAGAGGGTGGAATATCAGATGCGATGGGATAATGGAATGGGGATTCTTGTGGGGTTGCCAATACACCCATGGTATATGTGTTTGTTGTGTGAATTGCCCGTGCATTTTAAGGCAATTCTTAATTGATTCAAATGTATTCGTGTAATTGCTGTAATGACGTTTAATTGTGCAATTAGTGTAAAGGCATGCAATCATGTAATTAGGGTGTGTAATTACAATATGTAATAATATTAGACTGTTGTACAATCCTGTTTTTTAACTGTAGAAGAAGGAGAGAAAGAGAGAGATGCATGTGGTATTAAAAGTGTCAGTGTTCTGAAATGCATGGCAACATAAAATTTTTCAATGTTAAAAGCTCCCAGGAAAAAGGATTTGTATATGAAATGCTAATAGCACTGTAATAGTGCTTCATTAGGGCACCATAATTATTACAGAATTGTTGCAAGTGAAAATGGGGCTTGATATTGACAGAAAGGTAATTTTGGTCTGATTACCAGGAGGCTTGTTAAGGACTGAAGATTATTTTGGGTCTAACGACCCAGAGGGGCACAACGTCTGCCAAAGTTAAAGAGAGGAAACCTCTTTTGAGGGTGCACTTTCAGCACCAATCAGTTGACAGGTTGCTGGGGGCGGGCCTTCAAAGAGACATGCTATAACACCCAATCAGCTTTTAAAGTGAAGTCCCTTTGAAGTCTCTGCAGAGGGGGAAAGATGCCATTAGTCAGTGTGTGTGGCCCATCAACATGGAAAGAATTGTGAAAGCTCAGACTTACCGGACTCCACAATTCCTACATATTACTATGCACGCCAACAGAAGGCATTGCAAATCAACCCTAGGCATCCTCTTATAAAAGACATGCTCAGACATGTGCAAGCAAATGAAGCCTGAACGTTGCTGCGGCTTCCTTTGAGGCTGCTACCCGAAGATCAGGGCATCGGCCACCAGATACAAAGGGATATGGAGAGAGGATGGAAAGAAGCCCTTCATCCGAACATGAACCCTGGGCCAGATGAAAGGGTGGAAGGAGAACCGAAAGAACCGGAAGAGGATGATGAAGAGGAAGAACGAAAGAAGGGAACAGAAGCTGATGAAGATGCTGAAAACAGAGAAAAGGGAGCCCACAGATGTTTTTTTGAAAAGATTGTAAAGTGCACTCTCACAAATAGCATCCCATATCTGGAATGAAAGAGGAAAGTGAAATAGATTTGGTTCCCTCCTCCCCACTGTAAAATGTGATGGGAGAGGCTTAGAGTTATGGGCAGCAGAACTGCATTCTGTAAACATGTAAATGTACTATTTAACTGACTACTTGGTGCTATAGTATGCCATGGATTCAAAATCAAATTGTTCACGCCATTTGCAGTTAAACACCTCCTACCAAAGAACAACAACACCACCACCCAGAAGCCGTTTGGATTCAAACAGCTTCCTCTACTGCCTCTCCAAAGGGGAAAATGCACAGATTTTGCGCTCTCTCTCTCTCTCTCTCTCTCTCTCTCTCTCTCCAGAAAGATGTTTTATTTTTATTTAAATGTGTAACAACCCCCACAAAAGCACAGTACTCAGTTTCTCATGCATGAACTAACAATTTTATCTATTGCATTTGCAACGGCTACAGTGGTGCCTCGCAAGACGAAAATAATCCGTTCTGCGAGTCTCTTCGTCTAGCGGTTTTTTCGTCTTGCGAAGCAACCCTATTAGCGGCTTAGCGGATTAGCGCTATTAGCGGTTTAGCGGCTAAAAGGCTATTAGCGGCTTAGCGGCTAAAGGCTATTAGCGGCTTAGAAAAAGGGGGAGCGGAAAAAATCGCAAGACTCGCAAGACTTTTTCGTCTAGCGAAGCAAGCCCATAGGGAAATTCGTCTTGCGAAGCGCATCGAAAAACGGAAAACCCTTTCGTCTAGCGGGTTTTTCGTCTTGCGAGGCATTCGTCTTGTGGGGCACCACTGTACTTATTTGTATCAGAAGTAATAACTGACTAATCAATGTTCTTCACAATATTATTGAAAAAAAGTGCTTTATGATTTGCAAAAGTAAACAAGAATGGGTTTTGGAATACATTCATTACTGGTATTATTCTGATGAAGCCAATATACACATTGGCTTGTTCATTCCAATGAATGGCTAACCCTTATTTGTGCATGGATAACATTTCAGGTTTTTATGCTAATCACTCCATGCCTAACGCTGTGTGATGCCTCAATTGTACCTGCTACTATTAGTGTTCCTAATTAAGGAATTATTTACCAACTATTAGCATGTCTTTGATAGCTCACTGACATGTTAATTATGGCTAATTGAGAGTTTGCACAGACATGATTCCATTTCCATTCTTGTATGAAACCTTCCATAAATCCATTGTCAGTTTAACTACAATGAATCTAAATTACAGCAGAGTTATAAATGCTCTAAAAACCAAATTTTAGTAACTTACATTGCTCTGCTTTTTAATTTTAAGTATCTGTTGCATTATTCATGGTTACTGTACCTTATGTCACACCCATATAAGATACTGGAGCCATGAATCATTCCACACACACGTAAAAACAGAAAGCAGATCAATTTAATAATCCTACACACACTTCCAAGATTAAGCTCCATTGAACATAGTGAGAAAGCATGAGCAGGGTGGCACTACACATAGCCAAATTTAAAAAGTCAATAATTTATAGCATTTCTAATGCTTTGGTGTAATGTAAGTTCATTGTACCTTACAACTATCATTCTTTTGCCTTCCAACTTTGCTGCAGTTCTACAGAAGTGCAGAAAGTGCTATTAGGCACAGAACTGCTTTCTGAAAACCTCATTTTTTTATATAAAAAAGTCTCTACTTCCTATGCCTTGAATATATGCTTTAAAGTGGAAGGATAATGACTGCTGGAAACTGAGAAGCCAAAGAAATAACTGAGGAAAAATTACCAGTATTTAGGGTGGGGCTTCAATGCTTTTGCTGTTGAATTACTGAAACCATAAAAAATACAGCAAATATACAAGTGTGCCTTTTTACTATACTGTATTATAACTAATACAGTGATGCAACTTTTTAAAACAAATGATATCAAAACTAGTAGTTGAGTATAAAATGAATAGAGAACAAAAGGAAGACGGGGAAAGCTGCACTTGGTTCTAGTGTACAAGAGAAAGTGCAGATCTAGTTATCCTGTTACAGCAGCAGGAGTGGTCAGTGTGGTTCTCCAAATGTTGCTGGTTACCTCTTCCTTATAAGCTGGGGTCCACAAGGGGTGACTGAATCCCAGCTGGAACCAAGGCTAGGGTAGTTCACAGGAGATCAGGACCACGGTCAGCTCACTATGGACTTAGGTTCAGGGTCAATCTGGATCAGGCTTCCTCAAACTCAGCCCTCCATATGTTTTTGGCCTACAACTCCCATAATCCCTAGCTAGCAGGACCAGTGGTCAGGGATGATGGGAATTGTAGTCTCAAAACATCTGGAGGGCCGAGCCTGAGGAAGGGCAACCAAAATGGTCCAAGGCCTGGAAACGATGCCTTATGAGGAACGGCTAAGGGAGCTGGGCATGTTTAGCCTGGAGAAGAGGAGGTTAAGGGGTGATATGATAGCCATGTTCAAATATATAAAAGGATGTCACATAGAGGAGGGAGAAAGGTTGTTTTCTGCTGCTCCAGAGAAGCGGACACGGAGCAATGGATCCAAACTACAAGAAAGAAGATTCCACCTAAACATTAGGAAGAACTTCCTGACAGTAAGAGCTGTTCGACAGTGGAATTTGCTGCCAAGGAGTGTGGTGGAGTCTCCTTCTTTGGAGGTCTTTAAGCAGAGGCTTGACAACCATATGTCAGGAGTGCTCTGATGGTGTTTTCCTGCTTGGCAGGGGGTTGGACTCGATGGCCCTTGTGGTCTCTTCCAACTCTATGATTCTATGAAGTCTGGTCTGGATAAAAGACTCAGAGGAGACATGAGAATAGGATGCTGCTCCAATGATGGTCCAGAGCCAACACAGCTTAAGTGCTCATTCTGTTTGGCTGCTTTCTCCAAGCTTGGCTCCCCTGATGAAACTGTTGGGGTTTAAAGGGGCCATCCTATTTCTCAGGCACTGGATCAGGAAGAACTGGAGAGGCTCCTGCTGCCCTTGGATGTGGTGTGGCAGAAGAGGAGTGCCCTCAAAAACTGTTGAGGGTTCAGAGGAGTCCTCAGAGACCAAGATGAGGGGCATACATGCACTATCAGGCCATGCAGGTGACCTCACTGTTGAGTCCTGTGACTCCCAACAGGGGCCTCTGGCAAAGCAGTGACGCTCTCTCTAGGGATTGTCCCTGAACCCAGTTTTTCGCTTCCTCAATGACATCCAACCCCTCCTCGAAAAGCAGAATTTCCTTAGTTATGACAGGAAGCTGTGGAAAGCTGTGGCACTATCTGCAAGATTAATGCATTCTTTTTTCACAAGATAAGGTACCTCTGCGGATCTTTGAACATTCTAAAGTGCTACATAAATATGAACTGTTTTCTGAAGAAAAATGCATCTCTTTATGAGGAATGGGGTGTGTGGGTGTGTATGGAAAACTAAACTAAGACTGCAAGACTAAACCTTAATATGAAACATACCTTTAATTATCCTTCTGAAATCTAATATATGGGACAAAGACATCCCACCATTTATTTATTTTTTGGGGTGCTAGGCCATCTAGCATCACATCGAGAGGAAATGTTTCGCCCTTGGTACCCTTTTCTCTGTGAGAATAATAGGCAACCACAGGCTGAGGTAGGAAAAGCTAAAGAAGTGCACTTTTAGAAGACACTGTTGGAGTGGAGGCTGAGTATGTTCTCTGCCCTCTTAGCTGCCCAAGAAAATGCAAATCAAGCTCATGCCCATCTCTGCAGCTCCACCTCTTCATCTACAAAGCATCCTAGGTTCTGCTTCTTCACTACACTAGAGCAGGGCTGAGGAAACTTCAAGGTCTCCAGGTCCCTCTGTCAGGCCCTTGTGATACTTCCCAGTCCACACCCCCTATCCTCAGGGTACATCCCTCAGTGCTCCTACTCTGCACCCTTCCTGAGTGCATCTTCTGGTTGGAATGTGTCCTTGAACTGCGTTTGCACCTCTTGTTTGCCTGGATAGAAATATGTGTGTGAGGAGTGAAGGAAGCTCTGACTTTCAATGTACAAAGGTGACACATGTGGTTCCACCCCACTTTTGCCTCTGGTTCCTCCATCCACCACTGGGATGCAGCCCTTGGAAGGATGCTCATAAGGGAACGAGGCCCTCAGGGCTGAACAAGGTTGCTCATCCCTGCGCTAGAATGAGACAGAGAACTGGGAACTGTCATTCATCTTAGTAGATGGATTTTCTCTGGCTGATGGAGCGCTGAAGCCAACTAATACTGCATACTGTCAGTGTCTCCATTCTTAAGCAGCAGCATGTAGGGAGAGCTTTAATCTTGCACTACTTCTGGCTCCTGCTGAGGAACCTCTATACATCATCATTATTAATGATATCACAGTGTATTAAAGTTCTCTCTTACAAGCAAAGGAGCTGATAGAAAATGTCAGGCTGCCTCGGTCCTTTGGAATTAATATCCAGGAGCAAGATGACTTACTTAGAAAATCTCTTTCTGTAGCAGTTGACCAAATATCCAGAGTTTTATTTTGTCTAGGAAAGAGCTGAAATTAATGCACTGTAATGTGAACTGCAGAAAACTACAAGAGGTTTACACGTTTAATGCTCAGTTTTAGCCAAAGTACAGCTTGCCAGTTTTAGTGTAAACTCTGGGATGTAGAAGTGGGAGAGGCAAGGAAAGCTTTGGAACTTCAGTGGGATGAAATCAACTGCCTGTGTGGGTCTGCCCCCTTTTCTACCACTGGGTTGGTTGGTTTCGGGCTGATGTCCCACCTCCTCAACTACTGATGCAGTGCCTAGCCTGTTCAAAAATATCACATGACACAACAGATCATACGAGACAGACATGGTGAACGGTCCAGCTTAAAGCCCCATTGTCTCCCAGTACACTGAGAAGGTTGCAGCAATGAAATGACTGCTACAACAACTTGAACATGTGAAGAACACAACAAAACACATTAGGGACTACTCTGTGGGGTTGCACCACCATGATTTCACCACTACTACCAATGCGGGTGGCGCTGTGGTCTAAACCACAGAGCCTAGGGCTTGCCGATCAGAAGGTCGGCGGTTCAAATCCCCACGACAGGGTGAGCTCCCGTTGCTCAGTCCCTGCTCCTGCCAACCTAGCAGTCTGAAAGCCCGTCAAAGTGCAAGTAGATAAATAGGTACCGCTCCGGTGGGAAGGTAAATGGCGTTTCCGTGCGCTGCTCTTGTTTTGGTGTTCCGTTGCACCAGAAGTGGCTTAGTCATGCTGGTCACATGACCCCAGAAAAACTGTCTGCAGACAAATGCCTGCCCCCTTGGCCTATAAAGCAAGATGAACGCTGCAACCCCAGAGTCGTTTGTGACTGGACTTAACTGTCAGGGGTCCTTTACCCTTTTTTTTACTGTGCACCTAGGATGGAAAACGACAAGCCCTGCTGGCTGTCTCATGATCTAGAAAGAGACTGCACATGTGAAAAGCAGGGATTTAATATACAGTTGTACCTTGGTTTAAGAACAGCCCTGTTTCGAACTATTCAGTTTACGAACTCTGCAAAACTGGAAGTAGTGTCCCGGTTTGCAAACTTTACCTTGGTCTAAGGATGGAATCCGAACAGTGGAAGGGCACCGGCGGTGGGAGGCCTCATTAGGGAAAGCGAGCCTTGGTTTAAGAACGGTTTTGGTTTAAGAACGGACTTCCGGAACGGATTAAGTTCATAAACCAAGGTACCACTGTACTGGTAGAGAGACACGGGCTTCAAAAATAAAAGGGCACAAGCTGAAGCAAATACAAGGCAGAATTCTTGCTGAGAGGTATTTAGATTGAGGTGGCTGATCAGTGACTTCACATAATCCCCAAGTGATTCGCACACACTGTCAGAGTGAGGAGCCTGGGAATGGCTCAGAATGCCAAACGGACGACAGACGGTGGATGTTCAGGTGTTTTTGCAAACCAGCGCCAAGGAGCTTGTACAAGGTTACCTAGCAAAGCACCTGCAACTAAACCCTCTCCCTCTCCTCCCCCCCCACTCTCTCTCCAAGACAAGCACCAAAAAGCTGAGTCTCCTACAATTGCTGATTTTTATATAACATCTTGCTGAAATGATGACAGCGTGGAGAATGCAGCTTCCACGCGAGGAAATAGCAGGCTGTTTTATTTTATTCTTCCTGTGTCTAGGACTGGATTGTCAGACTTCAACTGATTCTGCCTGAAATCGGAAGACGTACCATATAGATCTTGGTACTGTAAACATTTCCCCATACGTATTACCTTCCCCAAGCTCAATTTCCAACGCCTATCTCTCAGGGCCACATCCAGATTTGAGAAGGCCCTTGGCACTGTGTCCTCTTCATTGATAAGATGCCCTGTTTGTAGGCAGCTATGGATTGCCATTTTGAAACTCCCCACAGTGCTTTGGAGCACCCAGTGTAATAGAAGGCCCAGTTGTTAGTGCTGATGAGCCTATTTGTGTGCTCTGGCCCAGACAGCTGCCTGCCTTTGCTGAGTTCTGCCACTAGGCTCACTCCCTCTAGAGGTATGAAATTATTTTGTGGCCCTAGGAAAGCCATTATTTATAGCCAATTTAAATGATTCATCTCTAATGTTTCAGTTTTACACTGATTCGCAGCCCTAGTATTTACCAAGCCCCAAACAAAATAAACCCCCTTTAAAATACGTCACGTCTCCGGAATGTTCATTGTGTGCCTTGCAGACTTGACAGCTCATCTAGGACGCCAAGGGACCCATATTTACATGTATTTAGAAGACTGGCTGACAAGATCTTGGGAAGAACAATCTGCCCTTCAGACAATCTGTTTCTGTTTCAGCTGTGGAGCAAGAAAAAAAGAAAGAAAGCAGCCGCTTTCAGCCCATCTCAGCTAATACAAGAGTCAGGATCATTTTCTCACCTGCCACAGAGCCTATTATTAAAACCCCACCTATGCTGGACGTCCCGGAAAATTTTCACTGACCCTCTTTTCCAGGTTGGACTGTGATTAGTGCAGCAGCAAGTGGTCTATGAAAAAGCCACTTCCGACCTCAGGAGGAGCTGGTGTTGCGGGCTTCACGCCTCCAACACACACGCGGAGGCTGGCTTCCAGCCCTGCGCGATCAGGGGAATCCTCGGGCCGCGTCATCACCTGGCCAGCCAATCGGCTGGCTCAGGGGGTGTGGCTTGCCTCATTTAAGGCAAGCGCGGCCTGGGATCTCCCTCTTTGGCCGCTCAGCTTCTTAGGTTTCCCACCTGCCCGCCCTCCAAGGTTTCCCTTCTGACCTTGCTATGGACCTCGGTTGGTTGCCGTTAAGGGGCTTGGTAGGAATTTTTTCCATTTGGCAAATTGGCACTGGCCATTTGGTTTTTTGCCTACCTCGTAGCAAATCGTCACAACTTCTTTGGTTTTGGCGGTTAGGCATTGGTAGGGGTATTGTTATGTAGATGTGTTGGGGGGGAGGAGTGCCATCCCCTCCCCCGAATATTGAAGGGTAGTCTGGTAAAGGATTCCAGGGGGCTTGGCCTTGTCTGAAGCCTATGGAGGTCAGGGCCTAAAGCGCGCTCCCGAGCGGTGACCCCTGGGGGAGTCCCTAGTTGCTGTGCATCAGCAGGGCTCCCCCTGCTGGTGTTAACCCTTCCCGGTCTTCAAGCAAACAGGCTGAAGCCGGATAGACGGATAGGACCAATACCTAAGCCAATACCGCTCGTTTCCAGTAACCAATAAAGTTGTGGCCAATTTTAGCCCATTAACCTAAAAGACTTGTGTCATGTGTCGTTATTCCTACTGGTGGGAGGTGGGAACTCGCCACGCAATGTGTCCTCCTTTTGACAACTGTGGATCATCAAGGATTCCTTCCGGTGATGAAAGTATTGGAAGGCAAAAGGGAGTAAATGTTTTGGAATCATTGGCAATGGTAAACTGCAGCCTTTGTGAAAAAGGTTTCTCCTGATTATCCAAATAGAATGGATTTGTAAAAGCCTACGTAATTCAGATTGCACGTAACTATAATAATACCCAGGATTTACCGGTATATGGTGCATTTGAAGTATTCAAATCCCATACATCGTTTTTGAGCCATCTTAGCTGTTGGTTCTGGAAAACTTGCTCCCTGGCTTCCAGGCCTTTTCCCACCTGACCTGGGAGGGCGGCGCCCTGACTGACTCCAGCTACAAAAGCTGAAGCTGCTGAAGAGGCCAAGGACCATCTTGGCTGTCTCTTAGACGATGACCTGAGTCTGCACTGAGTTTCCACAGCCACCGCCTGCCATGAACCTCCACTGACTGGACTGGCAGCAATAGCAGCAGATATGTCCTCTGCTTATGATAATATTTTATTCTCTTGTTAATTGTGCTGTTTTTAGATGTGCATGTTATATTTGATTTCCTTTAGTAATGTTTTCTTCTGAAATGTTTAAGATAAAAAGGGTTGGGTTAACTTTGCTACGTTTAAATGTGCATTCTGTAGTTGGCCTCTTTTGCAATGTTCTGTTTTGAAATCTTTAAGATAATATTTTAATTTCCTGTTAATTATGTTGCTTTGAATGTATGCTTTATATTTGACTTTCTACAGTAATGTTTTATTCTAGATTGTTTTATTTGATGTTTTAATGCAGGATGTAAACAGCATTCAGTCTTATCTTGAAAATGTAAAGTGGTATAGGAATGAAATTAATGAGAACAACCACCATTTTAGAAATTTGTACAGGAACAATTTGAGGCAGGGAAGTATTTTTATCCCCTTATTGCATGTGGAGTTTCTCAAGGCCGTAACTCACCTAGAAAATTTGGTGCCGAGATGAGATTTAAGCCACAGACTCCCCAGCCCATGGTCTCCATTCTTAACCCCTATGGTTTAGGCTTCCTTTTATTTGCTTTGGAAATTTGAAAAGGTTTTCAGAGTGGCTTTTTAAAAAAATGTTCTACGTCAGTATCTTCATCCCCAACAACAAAATTCACTCCTGGAGGACTCACTGCCCCACTGTTTCAATGCTAAGCATCATGCCTCTAAACATTTTTTTGGGGGGACACTCTTTGTAAATTATAAATCTTCCCCCACTTCTGATTAATTCTCTTCCCTGTCCTATGCAAGAACATAATTCTGAGCAGGAGCAAAAACGCACAAGCCACCACATAAAGCGTTAATTCAGACCCTACATAGATATGAGAATTGCCTGCACACTTCTGCTAGATTGTCTGAAGCCCGGACACAGGCCTGATTTTAGACAGCAGGCCTTGTGATATCACTCAATGGTGCTTTTGGGGGGCCACCACAGGTGGACGGATTTAGCTGCAGTGTTAATTCAGTACAACCTGGTTAAGTTGTGAGAAATGATGTTATCATCTATAGAAACAACAGAGAGAATTAGTGGTAGCGGCAACGCAGAGTTACCGTATTTTCCGCTCTATAGAACGCACCTAACCATAGGACACACCTTGTTTTAGAGGGGGAGAACAAGAAAAAAAATTCTCCCCCTCTCTGTGCTGTGCCCCTTCAGCGAAGCGGCAGGAGAAACGGAGCCCTTTCCATTTCTCCTCCCGCTTCGCTGAAGGGGCGCTGCACAGCTCTCCTCTCCCACATTGCCTTCGCCTTCAGTGAAGGCAACCTGAAGCCTCCGGAGCGCGGCGGGAGCGCTCCCACTGCGCTTCTGAGGCTTCGGGTTGCTATCGCTGAAGCCAAGGAGCCTGCATTCGCTCCATAGGATGCACACACATTTCCCCTTAATTTTTGGAGGGGAAAATGTGTGTCTTATAGAGCGAAAAATACGGTACGTCGTTTTATGGCTTGCGTCTGTCCATTTTAAGCGCTGCATATAATTTCCAGAGGTTTTTAAGTTCTTTGCTACCATGGTCTTTCTTGCTTTTACTGCATATAATGCTCGGCAACGTATTTACTGATTCATAGAATTTTAGGACTTAAAGGGACCTTGGAGATCATGCAGTCAAGCTGACCTACACAGTGCAGGATTCTTGAAACAACAGCATCCCTGGCAGAGGGCCATGCTTAAATAGCTGCAGAAAAGCAGAACTTCCCACCGCCTATTGTGATCGTATGTTGCACACAAAATCCGCTTCCGAGCTAGGGAGGAGGTGGGGTTGCGGGCTTCACGCCCCTCCCCCCACGCGATAGCAGGGAATCCTCAGCCGCGTCATACCCCGTGCCAGCCAATCGGCTGGCGGGGGGGCGTGGCCTCGCCTACTTAGGTCTGGGGCGGCCGAGGACCTCTCTCTTTCCCACGCCGCAGCTGACCTGGTTTTCCCTCTGCTCCCACCCGTTAGGCTAGGTTCTCTGACGCTGCTATGAACCTCGGTTGGTCGCCGTCAAGGGGCCTGGTAGGAATTTTTCCATCTGGCAGATTGGCTCCAGCCATTTGGTTTTCGCCTACCTCGTAGCAAACCGTCACAACTCCACGGTATTGGCGGTAGGCATTGGTGGGGGTACAGTCTATTGTTGTGCAGATGAAGGGGGAGAAGGAGCGCCATCACCTTCTCCCAAATAAAGGGTAGTCCGGTAAAGGATTCCGGGGGGCGTGGCCTCGCCCTAAGCCTATGGAGGTGTGGGCCCACGGCACGCCCCCACGCGGTGACCCCGGGGGAGGTCCTAGTTGATGTGCCTCAGCAGGACTCCTCCCACTGGTGGTTAACCCTCACCGGCCAGGCCGGTCAGTTGTAGGACCAATGCCTAAGCCAATACCGCTCCATTCCTGTAATCAATGAAGTTGTGGCCTAATTTGACCCATTAACTCGAATTCTTGTGTCCTGTGTCTTTTTTTCTATGGGGGGAGGCGGGAACTCGCCACGCAAACACTTCTTCCTCTTAGAACGTTCCTCCTAATGATTAACCAAAATCTGCCTCCTTGCTTTTCCTTCTCATTAGTTCTAGCCCTGCACTCCAGTGAAGCAGAAAACAAGCCTGCCCCACTTTCTATATGACAACTCCTCATATATTTGAAGAGAGCTGTTATGTTACATATGTTCTACATCTTCTGCGTGCTCCATCAGTATGGATTTAATTTCTAAAGTCTTCTGAACCTCAGCTTTCAGATTTCACCAGGGACTGCAGCTCCTCTGGAGAGAGGAGTGTATATAACGAATTGATTCCCTTCCTCCTGTAAGACCTTGACTCCAGGAGGTCAATCAAGGCGCACTTCACACACAAGCAATTTCCTTTGCCTGAGATTCGCTTTACCTGAAACGTCACCGACTTGCAGCCTAATTGGTGGCCATGGGAGTTGCATAGTCCCTTAAAACCAACACAAATGCTAGCGTGATAGCCGACTGCAAAGTTACAGCAGCTAATCATGTCACAGAGACCTTAGAAAGACAAGTTCGGGAGGAGATTGTCAGCCTCCTTCAAGAAAATAACAAGGCAGCTATGGCGGGAAGTGGAGGGTATTTATTTCTCTCAATAATGTGTCATCTTTGCCCTGCATTGAATAAAGCTAACAACCAGCAACCAAACAGCAGGAGGCTAGCATGAAAAAGACAAAACTGACCGAGGGAAGGCGGCAAGGCTTGCTCTTTACCCGTTAGTCCCGTTTTCTGGATAAGCTAAAGGGCACGTGCCAATTAATTCTCAGCAGGATCTCAACGATTGCTCTAAATCCAGGAATTAGAAGCTAAAGGCTAACTTTGAAATGGCAGAGGAGCACAGCAGTATACCATGAAACAATTCTTGATCCTCACCCTCAGAAGAGCATCACTTTACCATTCCACATCCCTTCCTTCCATGCTGACAGTTCCTAGGGTTGTATTATAGTATCAGAGCCATGGCCTTTCGTGCCTGTTCTTCTAAATATGTCACCGAGTGCCTCTCATGCCCCAAACTCCCAATTAGTGCTCTGAAATATCTTGTTTAAAAACATGTCCTGTCATTTCAAGTGCACTTTGGTGTACCCTTCACCTCTAAAAGACATAAGACCCCACTGGAATAACAATCAAAGACTAAAGAATTTACTTTGAGAGTATTTCATTTCCAGACATTTAAAAAGAGGTTTTGTACCTACAGTGAATTTATGGCAGCTCTCTAAAGGAAGTATATGTGGGAAATCGCAGTCAGATTTAACTAGCAAGCTTAGGGCTAGTTAATGCATGAAGGGGTTAAGATCATAGAATTGTATTCTTAGACTCAGCTAGGTCATGCCCCTCACCTGGAGGGAAGTTAAGTTTCCTTCTTTGTCCACTCTTTTTCACCATGTGAACTCACCAAGTTACAAGCTCAGACTGCATGCTTAGAGCTATTTCAGAATATTTTGTATCCCAAGATTTCTGCCTGTGTTTACTTCTTGCTGCATGGAATAGCACATGAATCTAACCTTTGAACTCTCTAAGTAAAGCATTTAAACTTACTAAACAGTGTGGTCTGTTTGCGAGAGGTGTAGAAATGGGGGAGCGCTGTCAGTGGACTAAATGGGATATTAAAAGGTCTAACAGCCTATATTCCTAATGCTTCACTGTCACTGCATATTTTGTGACTTTTAAACTCTGCTGGGGCTCTCTTACTGGAGAGTGCATTTAGCCCTGCACTTTGGATCTAGGGAGCCAGCCAATTCTTTTATTAATTACACCACATGGGTGATCTATATGTAGTTTTCTCTCCATAGTATGCAGGTGGTTGAGAAGTGGAATTTTGCACCACTCCTGAAAAGCTTCTGAAGTGCCCTACAGAACTCCAGGTCATTTAAGATGGCTGTCCTCCACCCCTACAGGAGAAAATATTGTGTGAATCATCAATATGTGGGGAACTCTTTGCAGCAGTACCTGTTGGAACCACTTTTGCAAAGCCTCCCTGTGTACCAGGAGCTCACAAGCAGTGAGCTGGTTTGGATGAAGTAACAGCCCACGGTTTACCAAGGCGAAGGAGCCTTGGAGGACCCTCAGGTTTATAGAGTCCCTTTTCCTTACTCTCCCTCCCCTCAATTACTGCAATCCCATTGTCACTGCCTAGCTTCCAGTAAGCTACAGTGCATGTTTCTCCTGCAACCTAGGACGGGAAATGAACAGGAAATCCTAGTTCCCCATCCAGGCTTTCAGGACAACTACAAAGCATGCTCTGCTGTTGGAATAATATGGCAATAGGCTTCTGCCACAGACCATGAACAGAACTGCAACACACAAGGGGACGTATCACAACACATAAGAAGAGGAAAGTGTATGCAAGCCTTTGGATCCTTTAAGACTTATTCACCTAGCACCAAACCATGATTAGGTATTTTTGGAACCATCACACCTTGTTTTCATGATAACAAAACTGAGGATTGTTTGCATTGGATTGACAGTATGAATCAAAGAAATAATACTTCCTTTTTGCTTACCACACTGAACTAGGATTGAAAGGTATCCCAGAAAAAGGGCGAGAAGGTTACTATCCCTGGCAATGTAACCTAATGCATGCCTATTCAGAAGTCCCACTGGGTCTTACTCCTAGGTAAGCATGTAATAGGATTATAACCAGCATGCATGTTGCATCCCTATCCCTAACATTTGTGTTAAACCTCAATAAATGAAGCTGAGTACCAGTAAATTAGAGGCTCAGGAAACTGGTGTTAACACAGAGATTTCCCCCCTCATATTAAAGCTAGTTGTACTTGGATAGCGGTGAACCAGCATAGTTCCAGGAAGTCAACCATCTATTTTGAACTTTTGGTGTTTAAAATAGAAATGTTAGCAGCATCTTTCAATTCACGGTGAAGTCTGCTTCTGGGGACAAGTTGATTTTTTCTGGCAATAAAGAGCACATGCTTGGCATGTAAAATGTCCACGTTCAGCCACTGGCATCTCCAGGTAAGACTAGAAAAGACTCCTACCTGTGGTCCTGGAAAGTGGCAGCCACTCAGCAGAGACAATACTTAGCAAGACGGACCATTGGTTTTACATGAGATAAGACAACTTTCTATGCTCTGAGCTGGCCTCAGTTAAGTCATTCTCTTTTAGCCTTAGTCCACCTCTACCACGTGGGGAGAAATATGTGTCTACATTATGGGACTTTCCAAGGATCAAAAGATAATGCATGTGAAGGTGCTTTGAACAATCTAAAGTTCTGCAGAAACAGCTATTGTGACTGTCCTCTATCTTCTTATATGCCCAAATCTTCTCCTGATCTGCCCACCTATATATCACGGGGGGAAGGGGAGGTTCAGTCACCTTCAGAGGTTGTTTTCACCCTTTCGTTATTTGATTCAAACCTCCTACATCTCCTAAAACACTTTTGTAGTTCCGAGGCTCACTGTGGAGATCCAGCTGTGGAACGTGACTGTGTTCCCCACATATCTGGACTATGGAGATCAGAAACATAAGTAAAACCCAACTGATCTCCAAAATTAGGGAAGCTTAAATATATTGCTAAGGATCATGAGGTTGTTCTTCACAGTTTGATGCATTCCAAAGGCTTTAAGGTTGTGCCTCGCCTCACAACTTGAAAAGTGTTCTGACCTTCCCAGTGGGCGAGAAGAGCAGCGTGAGTGGAAATGTCCGTGTGTATGTTGTTTTCCCACCTGCCCAGATGAAATGTCCCTCTTTGTTCCTTATGGGAGCAGAGTGGCTGCCATAGAAACCAGGAACCACATCGGACCTAACCATGTGGGGTGCCATTTGTCTGAAGCATCAGTTGGGTAAATTTAGTCAACCTTTGTTTTTGGAGCAGCAGCTAAAAAAGGCGCACAACCCTGATACAATTCAGTGGAACGGATTAAGAAACAACAAGTCAGATCCAGCTTACACTATAAAAACTCCAGGCAAATAAAATGGCACCACAGCTAAAATGATTTTGGAACTGGTTCCAGGTGAGCATCAACCAAGAAAGCTCTCCTCAGTCACATGTCTGACATCAAATGGAAACAGAGGGGGCAGATAACATGAGGAATGTTTGGGCAATGTGCGTGTAAGTGTAGCACGATGGACTCCTTTTCTTCAACCTTGATTCAGTAGGTTCAGTAGGTCTTTGTGATGGGGCCCAGTGAATGGTCTGTTGAGTACCTGGCAGAAACTGCAGAGTTGCTGAAGCCAAGATGCTCTCCAGACCTCACCAATGTCTTAAATGGGAGACTGCTCTGAATCCCATCTAACACTGGGATGTAAAGGAATATATGTCTATCAGACCCTGTAGCCATCAAGTCCAAATCTTTCCCTTGAAGCTGAACCCTCCAAACCCTCCCCCATACCCAGTTCACTCCCCAGCAAGTCCTTGGGACCAAATTCAGGACAGTCATCAAGGTGTGTCTGTGTGTGCCTGAACGTGTGGGGCATCCTAATATTTCAGACACCCTTGCACAGTTCGCAGGAATCCTTTGATGTCTGCTTAGAACAGGAAACCTGACTCTGACACATTCACAGTGCCTCAGGCTCAGGCTCAATATTTTAAAAATCCCGATATTTATAATCCAGGGCTCATTCTCAACTGTCTTGCCACTTCCGAAGGCTTTGTAGTCAAATTTAGAGCCTTTGTGAAGAGATAACATTCTTCAAGAGCTTAATAACTCACACAGTAATGCTACCCGTGAGGAAGTGCAACAGTAAATAACTCGTGCTTCCCAAGCATTGCAATGGGGGCAGCTACTCAGATTATTTGGTTAAGCCCCTGCCTTAGAGATTAATTGTTATTATTTTAGCTGTTTGAATGAGGCGTTCAGGGGAAAGTGGGAGAACAGCAGCATTAGTACGCAAAAGCCTGTGGACTTGGCTGCATCCTAAAGAAATAAACAAAAGGCAAACTGTTCCGATTCATTATGACTTTAAACAACCACAACCACATACCATCGATAGACAGAACAGCACAATGAGAAAGTGTGCTGTTATTCAGTCTTCAGTTAACCAAGTGTTTAGTCATAGGAGCTAGTGTTACCTTGAACAAATCATTCAAGATGCACACTGGGATAGCTCAGTTGGTTAGAGCACAGTGCTGATAACGCCAAGGTTGCAGGTTCGATCCCCATATGGGACAGCTGCATATTCCGGCATTGCAGAGGGTTGGACTAGATGATCTTCGGGGTCCCTTCCAGCTCAACAGTTCTACAAATCTATGATACTTAATGGCTAGGTTGATAAATAGAACAGTATTGAAATGCCAACAAAGGTCCGTATAGTTAAAGCTATGGTTTTCCCAGTAGTGATATATGGAAGTGAGAACTGGACCATAAAGAAGGCTGATCGCCGAAGAATTGATGCTTTTGAATTATGGTGCTGGAGGAGACTCTTGAGAGTCCCATGGACTGCAAGAAGATCAAACCTCTCCATCCTTAAGGAAATCAGCCCTGAGTGCTCACTGGAAGGGCAGATCGTGAAGCTGAGGCTCCAATACTTTGGCCACCTCATGAGAAGAGAAGACTCCCTGGAAAAGACCCTGATGCTGGTAAAGATGGAGGGGACAAGGAGAAGGGGACAACAGAGGACAAGATGGTTGGATGGTGTTCTCAAAGCTACCAGCATGAGTTTGACCAAACTGCGGGAGGCAGTGGAAGACAGGAGTGGCTGGCGTGCTCTGGTCCATGAGGTCACGAAGAGTCGGACACGACTAAACGACTAAACAACAACAATGTACAGATAGTGGCTTAATCCAAAGCTCTGAGACCCTTAGATGGGGTGGGAGAAATGGCTGCCCATGCATAAATATAAACCCATTTCTGTATACATTATGCATATTTGAGGAGACATGTATAAGTCTTATGTATTTAGTTCTCCTGCTTTACTCTTTTGCATAATTTATTTGCCAACTTGGACGGCTTTAAACAAGGACTAGACAAAGAAGCGAGAAAATCGAGAGATCAAAAAAGTCTACACAGTGTTGGTTTGCTACATTAAAGTAAATAAGTTGTAATGAGGTATTTCATCTGCTACTTTTATCATTCCGGCACTGTATGAACAAGGCCCATCTCCAAATAAACTTATTTTGGCAATTATATTTAACAGCATTCCTTTTGCTTGCAAATTTCATCATCATTGCATTCTCCCAAGCTTTCCCCAGTCATTCTGTGAAGTGTTGGAGGGTCCTTATTCTAAATGCTTCTAAGAATATAGCAGAAAATGCCCATGTGCTTATTTAGTATATCTTTCTAACCATGAGAACTAGAAATCTGGTGCCTTTTGAAAGCAATTGTTTTTAGAAAGCAATTCGAATACCACATTGTGGATCTTTTTTTTGGCAGCTCCCAAAGAACTACTTTCCAGCAAAGAGTTGCTCATGAATCAGCCTGAAGTTTTTGGCCAAGTAAGCCAAAACTGCACACAAAAAATTGTGCAAGAAGGTTGGGAAAAGTCAATGATGAAAGAACCCTGAGTTGTAAGCTGCTTTTTAGGATGCCGCAGTGTCTGATCCAAACCCAATCACGCAATTCGAACTGAGAGGGTTAAGCACATTTCCAAGCCTACATTTACTTTCAGTGCACAGATTGTATTTTCTTTGGTAGCAGAACTTGGATTTTTTGTTGCAGTTTTCTGTACCTGAGATCCCCACAATATCATGACCACGAAGTGGCATCCAGAATATCCTAGATGGATTAAAAATCACAGTCTTTCACCATTCTCTGCTTTCTGCTACATGGATATCAGTAAAGGCCAGATGTTGTGTTTCTTCATTCCTTTTTGGTGGCCTTTCAGCCATAATGCTCAAACCAGAACAGGAAACTGACTTTGTGTTTCATGTTAAGGGGGATATGAGCTGAGCAGTACTGTGCACATTCACCAGGCCTCATGGAGAATGTGTACATAATCCTTCCATGAAGAGGGAATTGTGCACATTTCCCAGGCAATAAAGATAATCTTCAGCACACCTTGAAAAATACGTATATATAGACCGAATTTTGTTCATTCTTTTTAAAACCAATAAATACTTTCTTTTCTTTTTTCATTTATGCATTTTACATGTCTTAGTACATCAATTATTGTCATTGTTTATCTTACAGTCTTTGACTTCCATGCACACCCCTCTGCGGGGTCTTAATTAGTCCTTGTTAAGCTGCATCTCCTTAATGACCACCCTTCTTCTGCTTATTTTAACTGCTGCTCATATATCTAACCCCACTTGGAAATTTATCTGATTGTAATATTTCTTTAAATATTCACCAAAGTATTCCCATTCTTCTTTTATACAGTGGTGCCCCGCAAGACGAATGCCTCGCAAGACGGAAAACCCGCTAGACGAAAGGGTTTTCCGTTTTTCAATGCGCTTCGCAGGACGAATTTCCCTATGGGCTTGCTTTGTCTTGCGAGTCTTGAGATTTTTTTTCGCTTTCCCCCCTCTTTTTCTAAGCCGCTAAGCCTTTAATAGCCTTTTAGCAGCTAAGCCGCTAAGCCTTTAATAACCGCTAAACCGCTAATAGCGCTAATCCGCTAAGCCGCTAATAGGGTTGCTTCGCAAGACGAAAAACTGCTAGATGAAGATACTCGCGGAACGGATTAATTTCGTCTTGCGAGGCACCACTGTATCTGACTCATCCTGATTTCTTATCTTTGCAGTCAACATTGCTAGCTCCATGTATTCTATTAGCTTATTTTGCCAGTCTATTTTTGTGAGACTATTTTTGTCCTTCCACCTTTGGGCATAAATTATTCTGGCTGCTGTTATTGTGTAGAGGAAAAGACTAAGTACTTTCTTAGATATTTCCCCCTCTACTATACTCAATAAGAACATCTCTGGTTTCTTGGGAAATGAGACCCTGAACATCTTTTTCAGTTTTGAGTATATCTTCTCCCGATACTCTTTGGCTTTCTTACAGCCCCACCACATGTGTATAAATGTCCCTTCAATCTCTTCACATTTCCAACATAAATTGGTTTCCTTTTTATACATTTTTACAAATTTACTAGGGGTGAGGTACCATCTATATATCACCTTTTGTAGGTTCTCTTTTAGGGTATAGCATGCCGGGAAGTTTATTGTGGTTTTCCACAGTTGTGTCCTAGGTCAACTGTCCGCTGGATCATAGAGGTCTTTGTTATTTCTTCCTTAGTCTCCCCACTCTAATAAGATTTTATAAATTTTTGAAACTAGTTTTTATTTGTTGCCCAATAAGACTTTTTTGAGTTCTGAGTTTTCCTCAGAAAATCCTCTTTCTTTGTCTTCCCTAAATATCTCATTTAATTGGAAATACTGGACCCAGTCTTTGATCCAGTTTTGTATGTCTTCTCTCTTTTTTAAGTTTGGTTTCCCGTATTTGAATTCTATAATATCTTTAAAGGTACCCCAATCTCCTTTAATGTTGGTCTTCTTTACTGATAGCACTTCTATAGGTGATAACCATCGTGGAGTTTTCCTTTCTAAAAGGTCTTTATTCCTTATCCAAATGAATTTTGTTCATTCTCTGGGCATTAACCATATTCCCTAACAGGCCTTGGAAAATGTGTGTATCCTGGCAAGCTTTTCACCACCTTCAGCTGTTCTCCAGTCAGCAGCACAAGGGGGTAGGTCACAGCAAGAAGAAAGTGTTAAACCTTTGCTCCCCCTCCCCTGCCACCTCCTGTGCTGCTCTTAAACTTAGGAAAAATCTTAATAGGAGCATGGGGAGATGGTAACTGTAGCCCATGACATCTGGAGGGCAGCATGATGGCTAACCTTGGAGTAGACAATATGGGGGTGAAATAAACTAATAGACCAAGGCAGGTTTGTCTATCCTTGGTTGCTATCCTAGGAGATGAAAGGTTTTCTTACAGTGTTGTTAAAAATACACAAAAATTGCATTTTCTAATAATTGTTTTTTAATAGCTATATTTGATATATCCATCGTCCACCTAAAGCAACTAAGACTAAAACTCTCTCTCTATATATATTTAACTGTGTTTAGCTGGCCCAAGACATTTTGGCACTTGAAGTGAACCACAAAAATGACACCTCTCTCCCCACCAGGAAAGAATGTGGGAGTCAAGATCTACATCTCAAACAAGGGGAAGAAATTAAGGTCTGCAGTGGGATCTGCTGCCCTGTGGATCCTGCCGCTTGAGGTGGTCCCTTCACCTTGTCTCATGGGTGGGCCGGGCCCTGCACATTGAATTCGGCAGGAACTGCTTTTGTGGATTGTGCGATAAAAGACTTGTCCGGGGAAACGCAATGCAATTAGGCAGAACAAGGACTACAACCTTGTTTCTGAGCACAATTCAAAGTATTGGTGTTGACCTTTTAAGCCCTAAACAGCCTCAGCCCAGTATACCTGAAGGAGCGTCTCCACTCCCATCGTTCTGCCTGGACGCTGAGGTCCAGAGCCGAGGGCCTTCTGGCGGTTCCCTCATTGCGAGAAGCAAAGCTACAGGGAACCAAGCAGAGGGCCTTCTCGATAGTGGCACCCGCCCTGTGGAACGCCCTCTCATCAGATGTCAAAGAGATAAAGAACTACCTGACATTCAGAAGACATCTTAAGGCAGCCTTGTTCAGGGAAGTTTTTAATGTGTGACATCTTAGTGTACTTTTGGTCTTTGTGGAAGCCGCCCAGAGTGGCTGGGGAAACCCAGCCAGATGGGCGGGGTACAAATAATAATATTATTATTATAACCAGCTCTGAGATCTGCTGAGTTCACCAGCATGTAGTGCCCTCCTCCACAGTCTACGTCACCATCACTGCTCCCTTGTGTGCTTTTCTTTGCCCTCCGAGGCAGAGTAACACCCCTTTGGGCAGCAGCACACAAGAACAGGAATTACATGGGAACTTTTCCCACTCAGCCAGAGCCTGAAGAGCATGAAAGGGGAAGGAAGGGGAGAAGCCAAAAGGTGCCATTTGACAAGGTCAATAATACTAAGGACCAGTTCTTTAACATGGATGGGGGATAACTTATGAGCAAGCGCGAGTCTTTACGCAGACAATGGAGATGGTTGTTTTTAAGTGCTTTCCCTTGCCGTTCAGAGTAACACAGCCTCCCAAAGCCGTTCCTCCTACCTTTGTTTTCCAGCTTGAGTTCCTCTGCTAGTAAGCTGTCCTGTCTATTGCCAAGTACAAATGCCAAGAAAGAAAGGATCAGGGCATCCAGGATTCCAATGATGGCCAGAATGTATGCCCAGCGGATTGAACAAGCCCCCAATGTGTACTTGTCTGTCTTTTCACCACACATCCGTTTCACCTCCTTTGCATCCCAGCCATCAGGATAAATCATACAGCCCAGGACAAGACAGGCAGCTGGGAAAAGAAAGAAAGAAAGAGGAATAAAGAGAATGACAGAACAATCACGTGGCTGAAGTTTATATCTCACAACTATTCCCATATTCAGTTATTAAAATGTCTCTACTTTGCGATGCAAAACTTCGTAACCTGCTTATTTCCAAGACAACCACAACATATCCACTGTGCAGAAAATTATGGTGCTGCTCAGAAACTTGAAGTTTTATGAACTTTTTGGGGGGCTGGTGGGTGGGAAATCTGCACCTTTAACAACTTATTTTGCTTATTCTCAGACTTTTGGGAAAGAGTTGGGGCTGCAAGACAAGCAGGGAAGTTGATACATCCATTTGTAATGCAAAGCAAATTGACATACTGTAAATTTAAAGTCTGAGAAGCAAATAAAGAGATCCACAATAGTATCTGTATTGTGCTAATGTAAGTTTTCAACCATATATAAAAACAACAACAGATATTATGAATCTCTGGTAAAACATCCATTTAACAAGTAGTCTTTTTCAAGTTCTTACTGATGAATGAAAGCTTCTAACTCCTTGCAGCGCTGGGGAAGTTTCTAATCAGAGTCCAACTTGAATGATGAAATGCCCTAAGATTTCCAGGATAGTTTTGTCTTGCAGTTCTTCCAACTTCATTAATCTTCTTCTATAAGAAAATTACTTCTGGTTTCCAACTCCCCTTCAGTATAGAAAACAAGACGTCCGAAATGTCATTGGCCCAAGGAAAGACTTTCCTTTCCCTACCACTTGCCTCTTGATTCATGAACCATCAGCAGACTGGTGGTCAAGAAACGATGAACACGCATCCTAAAAGCATGTCATAGATTTCCCTCAAGTCACTTTGTACCTCTTCCCTGCTTTCTGTTTCCTTGGCAAACATTAGCAGACCAAACAGCTGAGAGCCCACCCAACTTCACTTGAACAAACTCACAGAGGTGATGCCTGACATTTCTGGAAGGCCTTTCCACAGCAGTTCTAGCCTGTTATAATCTTGTCACCCACATTTTTGTCTCTTGCTATAATAATAATAATGATAACTTTATTATTTATACCCTGCCCATCTGGCCGTGTCTTTCCCTAGCCATATCCTTTTTATGCCCAATAAAGACCTTCAGTGGTACCTCGGTTTACGAACTTAATCCGTTCCAGAAGTCCGTTCTTAAACTGAAACTGTTCTTAAACTGAGGCGTGCTTTCCCTAATGAGACCTCCCGCCGCTGGTGCCCTTCCACTGTTCAGCTTCCGTTTGTAGACCAAGGTAAAGTTCGCAAACTAGGACACTACTTCCAGTTTTGCGGAGTTCGTATACCAAATAGCTCATAAACAGGGCTGTTCTTAAACCGAGGTACCACTGTACTAGGAATTCCTCACAATTCCTGCATAAAAGGGAAGCTTCTATTGGGCCACTTTCACAGACCTCACATCCAGCATAAAGAGCTGAAGTACAAGGTACTTCAATTCCTATATTTATTTTGTTGCTCATTGATGTTTAAATTATTAAAAATCCTAAATTAGTGTGGGGTGTTTTTCTTTCATAATTGTCACAACCACTGAAAGTGAACAGAGTAAGTCACACAGAACAAAAGACACACCTTTGCTTTGTATGTTAATTTGGTTTGCTTGGATGAGTGAATAGATGTTAGGTATGAAAATATAGTCAAGAAAATTCAGTGTTATTTTTGGGCAGCTGCTTACATTGTATGCCTTGAACACTGTAGAAATAATAATTCAGAAGCAATAATTAAGCTGAAATCATGTGGAAGAGAAAAGCAGGCGGTTGTCCACCTTACTTACAATTAAAATGAACTTACACAGTTTTTTGAAAACAAAATATCAGTTACGTTGAAATTAACTCATAGGATTCTATCTTCAGAATGCAGTACCAGGAAAAGGAGCCCCCATTAGTTTAATGCACTATTTAATAAATGTTATGAGAATTAGCAGTCTTCACATGCAAAAAATAAATTAAAAGCAAAGTACACTTGTACACTCTTAAATAAAATTACCTAGGCACAGTTTTCATTTGGCATGCTAGGAAGCACAGGCGAGTATTTGCGATGAAGTCCCAGCAAGGTTTCATTTATCAGTTATAATATCATAAGATCTTTAAAGCAGAAGGGATACTTATAAAATCTACCTATCATTTTTATTTGAAAGGGTAGATTTTGACTTTTTAATCCTTCCCAGAGGACCAGGAAATTTTCTGTGCAAGCAATCTCATCCTTTTTTGCCTGACTGCCATTTTCACAGTTTGTTCACTGCTGCCATGGTTCAGTACAGAAACGTGGCGGATGTGATGGGCTGGCAGGAAGAAGAGTAGGAGTGGCAGCTGTCAGTGGAAGGTGTGTCACACATCCACTATGGCAGGTGTATGTGCCTTTAAGATACACATCTCTAGCCCCCGCTGCTCTCCTTTGAAGTGGGAATATCACATCTTTCCTGCTGATATCTGAATCCACAAACTGAGCAATCATTTGCAATATCCTCCCTGTCAAGGAAAACTGGGCAATTTCTGTGTTCATTGACACCATTTCCCCCCAACTTCCCAAAATAAATAATGCTACTTTCCTGTGTACATGCAAATCAGCCTAGGGATTTGATTTGGTGGATTTGATTTATTATATTTCTATGCTGCTTTTCAGTCAAATGAATCCCAAAGTGGCTTACGAACAATAAATAACAAAACCATCTGTGTATCTGAAGAAGTGTGCATGCACACAAAAGCTCATACCAAGAACAAACTTAGTTGGTCTCTAAGGTGCTACTGAACATTTTAAAAAATTTATATATATATTTTGAGTGAGTCAGACCAACACGACTATGTACCTGAATCTAGTAACAAAACCATGATAGAACATAACAGAACATCAAAAATACAGCATATGTCGTACATAATAAATAACAAATTTTCAGCAAAACAATTACAAACTATAAAGCACTGTTAACAGAGCAACAACTAAAACATAATCTAAACACCGCAGTTAAAGCAAAAGTCATATTATATGGTGCATTTATAATCTATAAAACAATATTAACAACATTAACAAAATAGCACACGAACGATCAACTAAACACTGTTAAGTTCGTACACACTCTCTCTCCATACATGGGCAAAATACACATATACATAATGCCCATGGCAGCAACCTCCTTCTGAAGGTTCCTCAGACTCGAGCGGGTACAGCAGAGGTGAAACCAACCACCCCCTGATGGCAAACAGAGTCTCTCTCCCCTCTCAGTTCTTCTGGAAGCAGTGCCCTTACGAAGGCTCCTAGGGCTGGAGGCTGGGGCAAGGCAGGTGGGAAAAGCCATTACCTGCTGGCCAACATCGTTTCTTGCTGAACCCACTGGCTTTGTTTGCAGGCCCATGTGAACAAGATCTCTTCTGCTGTTCACCCCTGTCCCCTCACTACTTGCCAAGCTGGCAAGAGCCAAAATGTCAACATTATTTTGCGGATGCTTTGTCAAGCTATGAACAGCAGCTGATGCACTGACGTTGCCGCCACCGGGCCTTGATCAGTTCTTGCCACAAGTGCAGAATATGGGCCACCAACTTCTTCAGACTAGGACACAGTGGTGCTTGTTAAGCTGTACTCTAATAAAGACAAATTAGCCTGAGATACGGTTTTGTCTTGGCTTGCCAGCGGTTTCTCAGATAAGAGGACTTAGTTGAGGCTGTTAGCTGACAAAACACATCAATCCACTGAATTAAGGGTGGAAGTCTGAGACTTCAGCTCCGCAGACGGTGACACACAGAATGGCCCATGCAGAAACAGTCCCCGACACAAGAGTCTGAGGGCCTCCAGGCTGTCAGTATTTTGTGGGAAAGATTCAAGGATGTACCATTTGCACAATTCAAGCAGTTTAAAGAGCTCTATTGCTCAAGTGAAACAAATCCATTAAAAACACACACAGAGAGACTTTTTGTGGTTTGGAAAGTACAGTGGTACCTCGGGTTACAGACGCTTCAGGTTACAGACTCCGCTAACCCAGAAATAGTACCTCGGGTTAAGAACTTTGCTTCAGGATGAGAACAGAAATTGCGCGGTGGTGGCGCAGTGGCAGCAGAAGGCCCCATTAGCTAAAGTGGTGCTTCAGGTTAAGAACAGTTTCAGGTTAAGATCAGACCTCCAGAACAAATTAAGTTCTTAACCCGAGGTACCACTGTAATGGAGGAATGCATTGAAAAGTGTAGGATTGACAAATGATTAATGGGAACATTCTGAATGCAGGATGAATGCTCATTGTCACAGAACCAGCTCATAAGCAAATCAGAACCAATTCTGGGCCTACAAGAAGGAAGTTGTTCATAATATAAAATCGCCACAAATCCAATCTGGGGGAAAACACACTCAAGGACCACACAGTAAAAAATTGAATACACAGGCATCACCCAGATGCTCCGAAGAAAGGGGATGGCGAGGAAGCAATCTTATGCAGGTTGAAGAAGAGTTTTTGTAAAGCAGGTGATACATGAAATTATTCCCCTCATTAATACGCTTTGATTCCAAGTTCTTGGGAGAAGGCCTGCCAGGTTGCAGGGCAGATGGCATAGCAGTGACATATACAACAGCAGACATCTGGCAGACAGGTGTTAGATTTTGTATCTGGTGGCTGGCCAACAGCTCAAACCTGTCTGAGTGGAAATGAAGGTAACTGGAAGGAAGAAGGTGTTTAGCAGGCAGAAAAACAGAACAGAAGAGCGGAACACACTGGCTGTCTACCTTTTCTCACCAAAAGATCAGAAATAGGACCACAGTCCCTAGCGGCACCTTCTGCGTTGAGAATCAGCCTCAAGAGTTTTTCTGCAGCAAGGAAATTTCAGTGAGCAGATGTATTATTGCTCCGTAATGCATCTGCTCATTTTTTCAGCTGCCAGTTTGGCATCATGTGTTTCTGGTATTGCTTTAGCTTGGCTTCCCTCTCTTCAATGTTAATGATGCAGCTCTCAAGTGGAAAACATTAATTTTTTTATCAGTGGTTTAGAGACGACATAAATAGAAAGTTCTAGGGATGGGCAAATTTGTCAATTTAACTTTCTCTCAGTTTCTTGTTTTTTTTCCAGCCTTAAGCTCTGTCCTCTGCATTTCAAAATTATTCGTTGTTTAAAAAAAAACCAAAATAACTCCAGATGAAAATTCACATGGATTTTTGAATGTGCTTTTCTACTGTTGTGCACATTTACATACACATTTTTTTTAAACAAACATATTTTTGCAGGCAATTTATCCTAACACAATGATTTTGTGCACACAGTTTTCACTCTTATAAGCAATGTATGCTTTTCTGTTCATATTTTTTGACTGGAGAACTGTATCACAAAATGCAGAGAGATGCGAATTTTTAAGGACCAACCACAGCTGCGTGGTGGTTACTGTTTTGGTTTGGGGCATGCAAATTAAGTAATGTCAGTAAGCTTCCATTAAAATGTGAACTGAATGGATTTATTCCCCACCCCCACTTCGTACAGCTTTCTCATAAAACTTCGCATGGTATAAAAACATGTTTCCCTCCCTCCTTAGGTCCACACCACAAACTAGCTTTTTGTAAACAGCTCTGAGGTCTGTTCCTGCCCTGCCCCATCACACAATATATGGATTTTATGAAACAAAGGAATGGTCCAGTGAAGTAGAACTATTTACTGCCCTTATATTTTATGAGAGGGCAGTACATAAATACTTTTATAAATATGTAAAATATACTATTACAGTGGTACCTCGCAAGACGAATGCCTCGCAAGACAAAAAACGCGCAAGACGAAAGAGTTTTCCGTTTTTTGAGTTGTTCCGCAAGACGAATTTCCCTAT